AAAATAATTTGGTTATGTTAAGATAAGACAAAACAAAATCATTGAACAAAGTGTCTTATCATATTTTTTTATTATTATTATTTTTTGTCTTTTAGTGTTGCATGACATCATGTAACATGATAAAATAAAGACCCAATAAATAATATAAATTATGTTCTTTTAGGTGATTTACACAAAGTATGACCGGTCATACTTTGTGTAAATCTAAAAAATTACTTTTTTTTTCTCTTTTCTTAGTCACATTGTTCACGTTGATCTTTTTTTTCATATTTACACAAAGTATGACCGGTCATACTTTGTGTGAGTCACTAAAAGGACACAACTTGTGTCCTTTTAAATGACACACACCTTAATAGAAACACTTTTTAATGCGGCAAATTCAAAGAATATACATATTCATGCTCTCATGTAGGTGTGGGCATGGAGCTCATTTTTGGTATTCACGAAATACATGTTCCTTGTCCAAAAATGAGAGGGGAAAAAGATTGGGAGGAAATTATGAAAGAAGGAAGGGATTTGAATGGAAGAATTTTTTTTCATTTTTGGTAAAGGACCACCCAAATATCGGTGGCCCTAGATCACTTTAAAAAAATCTGTGAACATGGTTCAATTTTCTATTCCTAAACCCTAAACCAAACCGATTTTATTGTTACGAATTGATTTTAAGACTAAAAAATAAAATAAAAAATAAAAAAGCCAGTAGCTAAAGAAAAAAGAACCGGTTCGATTCTTTTGGTTCTTGAATTGGTTTAGACAAAATGGTATGGTATTTGAATCAATTTTATATAAAATGGTTCGATTCTTAAATTTGTTAAAAAAAATATAATTCTTTTGATGCAGTTTGGTTCGATTTACCACGCGATTTAGTTCTTTTGGATTTTTTGTATACCTTTACTCTCATGTTATAATTATGTGTGCTACTCTTACCATAAACTTGTATTGGTGTGTGGATCTTTTCGTATGGCTTTTTGGCTCTAGTAGTGTAAATTTTGAAACTACTTATTGATTTAAGTCTTTTGGTAAACTTATTACTAGTGTAATGCGAAAATACATGTACCCGGAGAGTACACATTAAGACGTGCATGGTAAAAAATTGCGTCTTATGTGACGATGAAAAAAAAAACACATGTTTCTTTACCGCATCTAAAACATGCATGGTGACAAAGACTCGTAGCATGCCTTGCGCGTCTCCAAAAGGCAATTAGAACATGGGCTGTCATGAGTGTCTCACGCTGCAATCAGAACTAGGGCTCACCCATAAACCTATTTGCTTATTTTCTAATAAATTAGTGATTGGTTTTTAGCTGTGTAATAACCTCCAACATTGTGGAGGATGGCGATGCTCTGGCCACTATAGGCTTGGAAAGAGCCAAATATGGGGATTTTTTTTGAATGGTCGAATCACAGCAACCCCAATTCCCCCTTCTTCATTATGATTCCTTTTGTACCTTGTCTTATCCTCTCTCTCTATCTCTCTTCCTTGTGATTCCTCCTTCATCATCGCCATCCATCTTTGCAAAAACCAAAACTCTACACTTTCTCTCTCTCAATCAAAGAGATTGCTTGACACATCTTTTTTAAAGTTAAAAGTTACTTTTAAATTAACGCTAAAAAAAAGAGCTTTAAAAATAAATATAAAAGCTATTTAATGATTATATAAATTTTTTAGCTTAAAAATTACTTAAAAGCTGTTCATTTAAAAAAAAAAGTTGATATAACTAAAAAAACTCCTCTTAGAAGTTTTTGGCATTTTTCTTCATTATAAAGAAAGCCTTTCTCACAAAAAAAGCTTTTTTTTTTTATTATAAGAGCTTTTGTAAAAACTTGTATGACCTAACTTTTGCTTATAAAGATAAGAGAAGTTAAAAAAAAGACCTTTCAAATACATACAAATAACAAGAGAGTGAATCTTCATGAAAATAAAATAAAAAATCAAAAGGGTTTTGTGGGATTTTGGTGAAACTTGAATGCTATGGTATGAGTTGGCCACTTACCTTGGCATTTGAGCTAATCATCCACTTTCGGAGACATGCAGGACATGTATGCACGATGATGTAAAGTAACAAGAGACGGTAGATGGTTCACTGGTAGGTGGTCAAACGATGGTGGTTCGCATGCCGAGACAAGCACAACAGTTGGTGGTTTGTTGGAAAAATCCACCAGACGACGGTGGTCAACGACGGAGGAGCGGTGGTCAACAAGTTTCTAACCGCGGTTTGCGAGAGAAAGCGCCGACAACAACACAGAGATGATCCAAGAACAAAAGTGACATCTGAAAACTAACAAAGAGGCAATATCAGGAAAATTTTTTTTGAAAAAGTTGATGAACAGTGGATTCACCGGAGAAAATAAGCGGATCAAGGTTCCTCTCGTTAGGCTCTAGATACCATGTAGAGTAACAAGAGACGAAATGAACATTGGAATAAATCTGTGTGTGTAATAGCATAAGGGAGGTTATATTATATATAGAACTACTGAGTATATATAACCTGAAATACATGATGTGGAACTAAGTCTACTATTTCTACTATATATATATACAACACACGATTTTTACCAAAATGCGTCATACCTCCACACACATTTTAGACACGATACCATGATGTTGGCGTTTTTGTTTGTCGCCACATAGAACACAGTTTCCAACCATGCGCGTCTTAAAGCATATTCTCAAAGTGCACATTTTTCCAATTATATTGGTAATTTAGTTTGCCAAAAGACTTAAATTGGTAAGTAGTTTCAAAATTTACACTACAGGGGTAAAAAAAACATGTTTACATACTTTAAAATATTGTTGATGAGTATGCTAGATAATGGTGGCCAATTGATAGTGAAGAAAACATTCCTCCAAGCATTTGTTCACATTTAACTCCTCATTAGACAGCACACCAAATGAAGGCCCACCAAAGTCAATAAGAATAAGGAATGAAATGGATTGGATGAATCATAAACTAAGTAAAGACGTTAATCTGCTTGGCATTCTGGTCTACATCTTCCTCATGCGCGGCTAGCAATAGGTGACCCCAATTATGTAAAATATCAAGTGAAATGATTAGGGGTGAAAGTGGGCTGGGCTGGGCCGAGCTTTGCCCCGTAAAGTCCAAGCATATGCCAAAAAATTTCAATTTGGCCTGGCCCGTTAGCATAGTATGAGTCCAACTGTTAGTCTGTCTTGGCCCATTTATAAAAAACAAATGGCCCGGCCCGGCCCGTTGGCCTGTTAAATTTTAACTTCGAAACAGACAATGAATCAACTTCACAAAATACTCAAATTATATTGGTAAAACAAAAATCACAATTTTAATGTACAGATAGAACCATGAAGCAGAACAATAACTCATCACAATTTGCATTTAAGTCACTGTCAAAAGCAAAATGCTCAAACTAAATAACATATATTTTATCAGATCCAACAAGCCAATTCATACTATGTAAATTAAAATAATTACAAGAATACAACAAACACATCTTGCTGAATGATGACTACAAGAGTAGCCAAAAACTTATCTTCATCTTCTCTCCCCTGCAAATACAATTCCAAGGTTGCATAAGTTGGCAAATAATTTATAAATGTATAAAACAAAAAACAAGAATAAAGAATAGAAACAAAAAACCTTTTAATAGATTCACATAGGCAATCTCACGTGCTGAGCCAACCTTTTAATAGATTCCTTGGAGGCTCATGAGCCAAGCTTAATACATTAATATACCGGCCCAATTATATCATCAAACTTTTACATCAGCCCAAGCCCAACTTGTCAAGTAAAAAGGCCGAGCCAGGTCAAGCCACTAATGAGCCGGGCTGTAGGCCCCTATAGGCCGGTCCGACCCAGTTTCACCTCTAGAAATGATGTTTTATACACGAAACATGTGTTTGTGTATAAAATAAGAGAATATTTTTTCTCATATTGCATGAGACAACTTATCTCATGCGACATACAAAAAGCGAGTGAGATTCACTTAAACAAGTGAATCCCATTCATTTAAACGAGTCTCATCGACGATTTTGTGTTATGCATGAGAGAAAGTTATCTCATGCACCATAAGAAAAAATAATCTCATAAATAATATTCAAATAATAATTAAATTTTTTAAATATATTTTTGATGAATAATTTTTTTTCTTAATATTAAAATGGAAAAATAACTTTGAAATTGAGTAAGAACGATGTTGAAGAAATAATATATTTTTTATTTATTTAATTTCTATAAAGTATAATGTTCACAAATTATCAGGAGTGAGTTACTGATGAAAAAAATTAAATAGCTTGCATGAAGTTATAAGTTTAAACCTTAATATAACTAGGGAAAAAAGTATCTAATGTTATTTTCGATAGTTTTATCTAATGTTTACTAAAACGACGTCGTTTTGAAGTTGAAAAATTAAAAAATTAGAATGATAAAGACTATTATAACCCTGAAATAAATTAAAATTACAAATATACCATGATTTTCGCTCCAAAACGACGTCGTTTCGACGAACATTAGATAAAGTTATCTAAAGTAACTTTAGAAAAAACGAACCCATATAACTATTGCGTAAAGAAATTATAATATTCACAATATTTGTATGCTTTTTGTTTAATATATCATATATGCTATGATTTTTTTCTTTTTATTATAAGATGAGATACAAACTTATTTACAATAATTGTTTTTAATGAATATTCTCGAAATAATAAAAATGATTGAACAATTTTATACCACTCATAACAATTATTTATATAACATGATCATTATAAATTATAATTAAACTTGAAAATGATATTTGAAATATTTTATTTATTTTAAAAAAATTATTCATCAAAATCATAGCAAGTAATAATAAAATTTATTTTGTTTATAATTTTTATAATTTTGTTAACACGCCTTGCCAAGCCTAATTATTTGATAAATTGTTGAGCAAGAAAATTGGAAAATGAAGAATTATATGGCTGAGTTTCGCCGTCGTCACTTCATTAATTCTTACAGGGTGGTTGCTTCGCTTCCGTAGCAAAAGAGGTTTGTTTTGCGTCGTTCTTTGTTGACCGCTCCTAACTCCAATTCTCCTTCGCCGCCTCAAAGTCTTCATCTCTCTCTGAAGCTTAAGCTTGTGTTCATTGTATACGATGCTATTTTCTCGGATATCAAGAAACCTCAGAGGCAGCTTCAAAGGATGTCGGTGGTTCCTGTCCAATGGAGACCAGAACCACCAGTTTCTTTGCTCACATAATTATCAGTCACGTAGAGACTCTACCGAACAGGTACTGTTTCCTTTCAGTTTTGCTTTGTTTTGTATTTTTTAGGTTCGTGGGATCCTCATTTGTTGTAGTTCGATCTAAAGTCTCGAACTTTTTGCTTTCACCCCTTTTTCTCCCAATTGGAACGGTTTCCGCAATGTGTCATATGGGATGATTGCTTTGTGAATTCTATTAGTGTGTATGATTATAGTGCCTACCAAATGTTTGGAATTATAGTGACCGAACCTATGTTTAGTTCTGAGTTTTAATTATGCTTTCTGGTCTTGGTTGCTCATGGTATTTCCTTTCTATAAAATTGACTTGCTGCGAATCAATAGCGAAGCACTTAGGATTTGGTGATTGCTGTTGCTCTGCAATATTTTAACATTTTTATGGACCTGTTGTGGGGAATTGTGAATGCTGCAAACACATAGAAGCTGTTTTGTGTTAACTAAGCGATGCTTGTCCTGGAAATTTTTATTTTAGTGATTAGCATTGCCACTTCGACCCAAAACTTTAAGGTATTGGGTGGAGGCTTAGGCCCAATTTTTGGTTTACTTTATGTTTATTTAATTCCACAAGTGGGGGGCGGTGATGATAGAACTCATGACCTTGTGGTCACCGAATCTCTGATACTATGTAAAGAACCACTTCAACCCGAAACCTTAAGGTATTGGATGAAAACTTTTTTAATGGTTTATATTATTTTCTAACAAGCATTATGTTTGTATGGAATATTGTAATAAGTGATGAAGGTTTATGCCCGGAAAATGGTTTCTTTTGGGAAGTCTCTTTGGTATATTTGGAGGTGCTAGAGAGCTCTATTGTATTAATGATTTAGTTGTGGTTCTGTTGTGGTTGGTTTGTTCTCGCTGTTAGTTTGTCAGAAGATAATTTCTTATCCTTCATTTGTCCTTCAGTTATGTAGTCTTTTTTCATTCTCATAAAGTTGTCTTCTTTTATCTAAAGAAATATGTTTTGCAACACTGAATTTTACTTGTACATGATTCTTGTTGGATGCAGGTCATGAGAAGTTTAAATTTTTCAAAGGGCCTGCCAGCACTGCATAGTAGTAGATATCAAATCCATCATCAAAGCAGCCCCATAGTTGAGGTAAATTTCTTTGTGTTCTTTCTTGGTATCTCCTCTTTCTTCTCTGTACTGATCAGAATCCCCATTGCTTAGAGGTGTTTCTATTTCTATACATTTAAGGTTATGCCATGTTGGATTTTCTTATACGTAGCTTTACCCTTGCATTCTCGGATTTGAACATGTGACCTTTTAGTCACAAAGGAACAACTTTACCACTGGCCCAAACTCGCCCTTTTTCGTCGAAACTCTTACAATGAAAAAATCCCAATATAGAAAAATTTCCCCGAATTGTGTCAGTGTATGTATGTGTGTGCACATGTCTATATGTAATAAAAAGCAAGAACATAATAAGGATTTCAAACTGCATCATTTATCTATTGAGTTATTCATAAACTGTTCTCAGGAACAACTTGAGCTTTTTTGTTTTTGACTATTACAGATAGATTTAATAAAATATCAAGAATTTAATAGAAAGACTCTCATCCGCTTTTTTCAATCACTTATTGATACCTAATTCTCTATTAAGATACATGTACTGTTCTCAGGATGAACTTGATCCATTTTCACTGGTTGCTGATGAGCTATCACTTCTTGGTAACAAGCTGCGAGCAATGGTGGTTGCTGAGGTATCAGACTGTTCTTCGTTTATTTTCTAATATATGCACGGAATCAATAACAGAGTCCTGAACTCCTGATTCATTTAGTCTAGTTCATGATGAAAATTGGGTTTACGTGACAGGTTCCTAAGCTTGCCTCAGCTGCTGAATACTTTTTCAAAATGGGGGTGGAAGGAAAAAGATTTCGTCCTACAGTAAGCATATGCTCAATGATATGCATATCTTGTTGTATGTTTTTGCAGAAATTTTTTCTTTAGTTTGGATTCATATTTGCATATCAATTATCACTGTAGTAGGACCATTAAATTTATGCTTGGAAAGTGCTGAATTTATTGAGCATCTCCTGCCTTTCAAGTTTCCCTTTAGAATTACTACAAGTAGGTTAACTAATTCGTACGTACTGATACGTTTCCTCTGTTCTATCACATGCTGGGGTTTACACAATTATGTGAAATATTGTAAAGAACCATTTCAACCCAAAAGTTTAAGTTATTGGGTAATGTTACAATAATAGTTTTATATATCTCTAACACGCTCCCTCACACGAGAGCCCATTGGGCTTGAAGGGTGGACAATGCATCAGGCCTAGCCTACTTGTGCTAAGAAACTCCACAAGATATAATTAATTATTAATAAATGTGGGGCAGTGAGGATCAAACCCGACACTGAGGCTCTGATACTATGTAAAGAATCAATTCAACCCAAAAACTTAAGCTATTGGGTGAAGCTACATTAATAGTTTTATATATCTCTAACAAATATGATCTTTGACACATAACATTAGGTGGACAAATTGTATAAATGGAAATACAAGGGGATCCTAGTAGTTTGGACTATATGTTAGTGTTGAGATATATAGTCCCACATTGGTTGTATGTGCAACTAATGTGGAGTTTATAAGGCCTTGGACACTCCCACCCTTTGAGCTAGCTTTTGGGGTGGTGTATCCCAAGGTTCTTTACATGGTACCAGAGCCTTGTGTTCTGGGTTCAAACCTCGCCGCCCCCCACTTTCTCTGGTGGAATTTCTTAGCACAGGTAGGCTGGGCCTGTTGCATCATTCACTCTTCAAGCCCAATGGGCTCTTGTGTGAGGGGGCGTGTTGAGATATATAGTTCCACATTGGTTGTATGTGCAACTAATGTGGAGTTTATAAGGCCTTGGACACTCCCACCCTTTGAGCTAGCTTTTGGGGTGGTGTATCCCAAGGTTCTTTACATATTGTTATATAAGACTGAAATGTATTTTTTTCATATATAGATTGACACCCCAAAGGGTTCTTTTTATACATATTACAAGGTAGTTAAGGAGATGAAGTAATAAATAAAATACACAGTAACCGAAGAGGCATCACACTATTCAAAGATACTAGTAGCTAGAAACAAGTAAAAGACTCTAGAATATTCTACACTCCCCCTCAAGTTGGGAGATATATATTGATCATCCCCAACTTGCTAATTAAATCCTCAAAGATGGGTTTATGTAATCCTTTGGTGAGAATGTCGGCTGTTTTCTCCTTGGTAGGTATATATGACAAACATACACTACCCTCCTCCAATTTTTCTTTAATAAAATGACGATCAACCTCCACATGTTTGGTTCTATCATGATGTACATGATTTTGAGCAATACTGACTGCAGCCTTATTATCACAATAGAGTCTGACAGGTAGAGAATAAGATATCTTTAACTCTTCAAGGAGTCTTCTTAACCAGATTCCTTCACAAATGCCATAGGCTAGCGCCCGAAATTCTGCTTCTGCACTGCTTCTGGCAACAACAGTTTGTTTCTTACTTCTCCAGGTCACAAGATTTCCCCAGACATAGGTACAATATCCTGAAGTGGATCTTCGGTCTATTGCAGAGCCAGCCCAATCAGCATCTGTATAGATTTCTATCATCCTCTTGTGTCCCCTTTTAAAGAGCATTCCTCGACCAGGGGTGTTTTTGAGGTACTTGAGGATTCTATAAACCGCACTAAGGTGTTTTTCCTTAGGAGAATGCATGAATTGGCTAACCATGATAACTGTAAATGCAATATCAGGCCGAGTGTGAGATAAGTAGATCAGCTTCCCTACCAACCTTTGGTACTGCTCCCTGTCAACATCTTTTCCATCTTCAATTCCCAATTTAATATTGGGTTCAACAGGAGTTTCTGCTGGCTTGCACCCGAGCATACCTGTTTCTTGTAGCAGGTCTAGGATATATTTCTTCTGAGATAAGGAAATTCCCGCCTTGCTACGAGTAACTTCCATTCCAAGGAAATATTTGAGTGATCCAAGATCCTTCAGTTCAAACTGATTAGCTAAACCCCCCTTTAAAGATTTTATTTCCTCCCAGTCATCACCAGTGACAATTATGTCATCAACATAAACAATGAGGATAGCAATTTTGCCACTATCGGAGTGTTTAAAAAATAAAGTGTGATCAGTCTGAGCTTGGACAAATCCTCTTTCTTTAACAGCACGAGTAAACTTTTCAAACCACTCTCTAGGGGATTGTTTAAGTCCATAAAGAGACTTCTTCAACTTGCATACTGAACCATCTCCCTCTTCAAAATCAGGTGGTGGATTCATGTAAACTTCCTCATGTAAGTCCCCATTTAAGAAGGCATTCTTTACGTCCAATTGATGCAAGGGCCAATCAAGGTTGGCAGCAAGTGATAGTAGGACTCGGATAGAGTTAAGTTTGGCAACGGGAGCAAACGTCTCCTGATAGTCTATCCCATAAGTCTGAGTAAATCCTTTGGCAACCAATCTGGCCTTATATTTGTTGATGCTGTTATCTGCATTAAATTTTATTGTGAACACCCATTTGCAACCTACAGTTTTCTTTCCTCTGGGAAGTGCCACGGATTCCCAAGTTCCATTTTTCTTAAGTGCATCCATTTCTTCAAAAACTGCATCCCTCCATTTAGGGTCATTAAGTGCCTCTTGGATATTTTTTGGTATTTTTGTACTGTCTAATATAGTGTTGAAAGCACGAAAACCTGAAGATAACTTTTCATATGAAATGTGATGAGAAATAGGATGAGCAGTGCAAGATCTAGTACCTTTTCGAAGGGCAATGGGCATATCTAGGTCAGATGTACCGGTGTTCTCAAGTGGATTGCTGGAACTAGGACTCGGGTCAGAATTCTGGCAGTCTAGAGGATCTTGAGGAGATTTACGCCTGCTGTACAATTTTCCCCATTTACCGAGAGGATCTCCAGTCTCTGGTACAGTTGTTGTCCTTTTCTCCTGTACATTAACTCCCCCTGTCTCCATAGGTAAAGAAACAACACTTGTTTCCAAGGGTAAAGGTAAGATAGTAGAATTATTTGGAATCCAAGACTTGTTTTCATTTACACCAATAGACTCCCCCTGAAGAGAAGTCGAAGGAAAAAATGATTGTGTTTCATAAAAGGTAACATCCATAGAAACAAAGACCTTTCGAAGAGAAGGTGAGTAGCATTTGTACCCTTTTTGATTAGGAGGATATCCTATGAAGACACATCTAACAGACTTAGGATCAAGTTTTGACCTTTGATGTGGAGGAATGTGAACAAAAGCCACACAGCCAAACAACTTTGGAGGAAGGGAAGAGAAAGCCCGAAAGGAGGGGAAAAAACGGGTAAGGCAAGATATGGGAGAATGAAAATTCAGGACATGAGAGGGCATCCGATTGATGAGATATGAGGCAGTCAATACAGCCTCCCCCCACAGGTATTTCGGGACATGCATCGTAAACAAGAGGGCTCTAGCAACTTCAATGAGATGTCTATTTTTTCTTTCAGTCACCCCATTTTGTTGAGGGGTGTTAGGACAAGAACTTTGATGGATAATACCTTGCTTGGTTAGGTAATCCCCAAGAACAGAATTAAAATATTCAGTACCGTTGTCAGTTCGCAGGATTTGGATAGAGGTCTGGAATTGAGTTCGTACCATAGCATGAAAGTTTTTAAAAGTGGCTGCAGCTTCAGACTTATCCTTTAGAAGATATACCCAGCATACTCTAGAATGATCATCAATGAAAGTAATAAACCAACGAGTTCCAGATATATTTTTTTCACGAGCTGGCCCCCAAATATCACTATGGATCAATGTAAATGGAGACGAAACATTATAATCTCTGAGGGAATAAGAAACACGAGAGTGTTTTGCAAACTTACAATCATCACAAAAAAAGGAACTTGGTTTTTTATTGATAAATAAGTTTGGAAACAACTTTTGAAGATAAAAGAAATTTGGGTGTCCTAAACGACGATGCCACAACAAAACATCATTACAATCGTCTGATAAACATAAAGAGTGATTTGCAAAAATTCTCTTTTCATGAGAATCTTCTTCAAAATAGTAAAGTCCTTCTTCCTCTCTAGCACTGCCAATCATCAGCCCCGAATCCTGTTCCTGAAAAACACAGGTTTTGGCAGAGAATTTAGCAGCACAATGCAATTCAGAGGAAAGTTTACTAATAGAGATAAGGTTACAAGTAAGAGAAGGGACATGAAGGACAGAGTTCAGAGTAATATGATCAGAGAGCTTAATGGATCCCTTTCCCGCAATATTAGAAAAACTACCATCAGCAGTCCTTATTCGTGACGAGTGATAATAAGGGGTATAAGAACAAAACAAGGATGCATTACCTGTCATATGATCAGAGGCTCCTGAATCAAGAATCCAACGACTACTACGATCAACATGGAATGCCATACCTTATTGAGCAACATGACTAGTTGCCTCAGCAGATTGAGACATCACCTTCTGGAATTGCTCATACTGAGCTTTCGGGATGAATACACCATCGGAGTTTGGAGAGGCACGAGACTCCTCACCCTTATCATCAGAAGAGATTTGATAAGCACGACTCTTGTTCAGCCCCTTTGTTTTCCAGTTTGGTGGTTTTCTATGAATTTTCCAACATTTTTCGCGAGTGGGACCACTCTTATTGCAATGAGAACACCATCGGTCAGAACGTTTTGCATCACTAGGGGGACGAGGAGTATGTTTTGCTACTAGGGCAAATACATCGGAGGATTTAGAGTTTTTGTCTCTCAACATTATCTTTCGGCGAAGTTCCTCCCGTCGTACCATAGAAAAAGCAGCTGCAATGGAAGGTAACGGGTTCTGCCCCAATATCCTTTCACAAACATCATCAAGATCACGATTAAGGCCAGCAAGAAAATCATAGAGACGTCTTTTCTCTAAATAACTCTTAAACCTTGCATTAGCTTCTAAACCTTGAAGATCTGCTGCATCATAAAGATCCAACTCCTGCCACAGAGTTTTTAAAGCAAGAAAGTATTCAGTAACAGACATCCCTTCTTGATGTAACTCTCTTACCTTGGTGTTGAGTTCAAAAGCTTGAGGAGCATTGCCTAGGTCAGAATAATATTCTTTAACGGCATCCCAAATTTCCTGAGCCGTATCAAGAAACAAATAAGTTTGACTGATATCAGGATCCATGGAGTTAGTCAACCAGGTCATGACCAAGGCATTTTCAGTCATCCATTTATCATAATCAGGATCATCAGCTTCGGGTTTTTCCTTTTTTCCATCAAGATACTCATTTTCCCTTTTGCTTGGATAAACAGCTTGACAGATTGATGTCATTGCACATAATTCTTACCGTTTAAACGGTGGTTAGTAATCTGTATAGCTGGGTTGTCTCCAGAAGACGAAGAACAGGAAAGAGGAGAGACACCGGAAACATTACCGGATAATTTTTTAGAATGCTTATTCTCATCCTCATTATTTCCAACTTCCATCGTTCTAAAAAGAAGGAGAGCAACAGGTCACGCCTATTGTCTTTGATAACGAAGAGGAAACAACTGGACTTAGCAAGAAAAGTGCTCCAATCGTGATTTAAACCCTCAGAACAGGAAGAGGGAAGCCAGACGAGCTGTTCTGTGGAAGCCGCGTGACAAACGGAAGCCGGCAGGGTGGCGCGTGGCTCGCACGCGTCGGAGAGGCAGATCTGTGGTGGTGGCGCGTGGCTGACGGTCCGGCGACGGGGCTGACGTGGGTCGACTCGGAAATGGTTTCTGAGTTCAGTGGTGGTCTTGGTTTCGTGATTGGAGGGGTCCAGATATGGTTTCTGAATTGTAAAAGTGAAACAGTGAAAAAAATAGAAAAAAAAAACGACGGAGGTTTACAAGAAGACCACAGGATAACCTGCTCTTGATACCATATTGTATTATTGTAATATAAGACTGAAATGTATTTTTTTCATATATAGATTGACACCCCAAAGGGTTCTTTTTATACATATTACAAGGTAGTTAAGGAGATGAAGTAATAAATAAAATACACAGTAACCGAAGAGGCATCACACTATTCAAAGATACTAGTAGCTAGAAACAAGTAAAAGACTCTAGAATATTCTACAGTTAGAGAGAAGGATACTTCTAAATAAAGCTAGAATTCTAATTTATTTTTTACTTGTTCTCGTTTTTTTTACTGTTACTCCATCTATCTATGTGAGTTGCATATAGATATGAGGTAAATGTGTATTTTTTTGGGTTTACTCTCATGTACTATTCGTGACTTTCTAGCTTAATTATTTCTCATACAGTGTTTGGGTTAACGTAGATGTTTCTGCAGGTTATATTGTTAATGTCAACAGCATTAAATCTACCAATATCCAAAGCTTCTCCTCCTATTGAGCTAGAAGATGTTTTGACAGCTGACCTACGGTCAAGACAACAACGCATAGCAGAAATAACAGAGATGATCCATGTCAGTCCTTTAGAAATTTTCTTTTATTAAATAATGCTTTCCTGATACTGCTGGTGATATTATCTTAAGAATACGTATTATTATATTTTATTGTATGGCACTCATTTAGGTGGTGTCTTATGTTTGTACTTTGTTTAAAAATATGATTCCTAATAACTTAACACTATATATATATATATTTCTTAAATTTACTTATTCATCCACTTAGTTTGATTATGTTGATTCTTTTCAAGCTATGTTGACAATGATTAAAAGATATACTGTTTTTGTTTACTTTTTGCTAAACAATGTTGCAATTGATTGTATCAGTTTCTTGATATCTCTCCCTTCTTACTTGTACCATGACCCATTATTCTTGAATTGTAGACTTGCTGTTATCTGTGATTCCTTGGCTCTTGATTGTATAATACAATTCCTAAGGGAAAGAAAACCTATAATTGACCTGAACTTAGCAGTTCATTAACTGGTTGTCAGAGTCTGAAGGACTTGATTCAAATCTGAAGAAAGCACAGGACTGTATTTATGGTCTTTTTCTATTTGTGATTTTGGTTGCTGCTATGGATGAGTGAATGAACATGCAAGAAAAGATAAGATCAGGAATGAATGTATTTGGAAGAAAGTTGGAATATAACCTATCATATCCATAGAAATTCACTTAGAGTGGCTTGGCCATGTGGGGAGAAGACTAATAGAGGTAGACGAAGAAGATTTCAGGAGCAATTATTAAAAAAGATCTTGCTCTAAATGTATTAATTGAAAATTTGGTTTTTGATAGAATCCATTGGCATTGTTTGACTTTGATCCTTGTAGCTAACCCACCTTGCTGGATAAGACGACGTTGTTATTATTTTTGTAGTGGGAGTAGCCATTTCTGACAGGCAAAGAGATTAAACAACTTCGTTGCAAATTTTAGCCTCTTTGGCTATGTGTTTTCCTTTTGTTATTTCTGCCGAAGTGGATATCTTTTTGTACCCTCTAGTTTTATTTTCGTCTTTTCCCTTTGATAGATTTTGTTCTTCTGTAAATTTTTGTTTTGATAAACCCTTGTAGCTGTTGTGCCTGCAATTTCAGATCTTGCAAAATGATTTTATGACTCAAGTTTGTGTTTCCCTGTGTATGAGAAAGATCCTTCTGAAGTGAGACTGATCATAAATATTTTACTCTTTTATCACCCCAGTTTTGTGATGTTAATATCTTCCCAATTAGATTAAGAGTTTTTCCTTGATCGCGGAAGACAGAATTATTTATGATATATGTTTAGTAATGTTTGTAAATAAAGAAAAATACTGTATCTGATAAGGGAATATCTTAATTAATGGCGGTGTGATCTTAAATTCACTGAGCCATTTGTTCTATCAATTATTCTTATTATTGTTATGATTCCACATCAGTTGTGTATATTGACTAAGTATGCCTAATAATGAATGACTTGAACAATCTTTCTCCTTTGAACTAGCTTTTGGGTTGAGTTCAGCTAAGTCTGTTCTCAATTCTAGTACAGTATGAGAGCCTATCTAGTCCTGATGCTTGACAACTTGCATATGTTCAGTTTTGCTAATTTAATGTTCCAATTTTCTGGTCCCAGGCATTAGGGGTGTGTATTAAGATCCCACAGGGCAAAGTACCCCTTATAATGACTTTGTAATCCTTCCTCCTTAAGCTAGATTTGGGGGTTAAGTTAGGCCCAATCTGTTCTCGATTCTAATTATTATTATTGTGGGTAGCAGATTTGGTTTAGTTGTTCATTCTTTAGGGTCCATCAATCAAGTTGACATTATTGTTCTCAAGTTGAGTACTTGCTTCTTGCCCCTAGTTGTGACAATCTGTTTCAAAATGCTATATAGTTTGTCCCTCAAAATGTTTTAGGAGAGTCCCTCGATCTTCCTTTTTTACCTTCAGAAGCTTTGCATAAGTAATGTATTGATTATTTCCTTTTCGATCACTTTCTTTTGTTTCCCTTAACAGACAATGAAATACTTGTTAGGTCATTTGGTGGAGTCCAAAACCAAGGAGACCTCCATCAATGAGCTAAGTAACAATCCACTATAATAAGTGGGCTGACTTTACATCTTAACCCAAAATCTTAAAGTATTGAGTTTATGGGTCTTTTCCACTTATATGATCCTTATATAGTCCATTCCTAATCACTGTAGGACTTCATCATTCATCACTGATCACCAACACTTGAATTTCTAACAATCTTACCCTCAAGTGTGAGACCTTACACCTGTATGCTTCTCTCAAACAGAAGCCTCTTCGAGTATTCATGGGATTACCAACCAAGAGTGGTCAAATCTTGACTTTATAACATGGGTTTGGCAACACAAACTCGAACATCAGCCACCATCTCCAATTACCCGGTCCAATCAAACCATTGGCTATTCTACTATGTGAAATTCTATATTGACTTGAATCCCTCAAAGGATTAGGGTTACAATATATACACAATCTTATACGTGTGAAAAAAAGGAAACCATTAATTACAGAATCAATCCTAATATGCCCAAATTAGTATTTTTTGGACATTTCTCTATTAGAACATCTGCCCCTGCCCCTCTCCTCTGGAAGGTTTGCAGGTTGTTTAATTCATTGTGTACTGCTAAAGTGCCCACTGATAATTCTGATGTACCACTTCTGCATATGCTTTTAAGAATCCCCCCCGCCCCCCCAAATTTCCGTTATTGTTATTATAAATATAAAACAATGATGGCACAATTTTGTCACAGGTTGCAAGCCTTCTTCATGATGATGTATTGGATGATGCAGACACGAGACGTGGTATTGGTTCATTAAATTTTGTAATGGGCAATAAGGTATGTGTGTAAAGTTGTGTTCCTTTTGCCTGCATAATATTTGCCATTTGCTCATAATTGTTCAGTGATATTTTCTGAATGTGTATTGTTATATTGTGCAGTTGGCAGTATTGGCTGGAGATTTTTTGCTTTCTCGGGCTTGTGTTGCTCTGGCCTCTTTGAAAAATACAGAGGTATGGTAAATGGGTAATATGTTTTATATGTGTTGCAATAGTCCTGCATCCTCGAAAATGTAATATCCCTTGTAATTATTAAAAAAATATTCTGTTACAAGGAGAGATTAATAGTTACCGTAGATCAAACGTTGATTTAGTTAAGTAATTATATAACGAGGTCTATATATTAGAACGCAACCATGTATTGAAATACATTCAGAAATAATATTAAGTCTTTTTTCATTAAAGTTGTTATTCAGAGCTCCGATTTGGGAGATTTTGCTTTTGCAAATTAACCCTAGTCTGCATTCATCCCAGCTATCTTCGTCGTGCTTAAGACTCCACTTGTGACTGTAGCTGCTACCGCTCATCATCGGGCACTGTTTGCCGCCGCAAGTTCTCCATCTAGTAACCCCCATCAATAGTTTTGGGTCCCAAATCGTCCAACCACTGAAGACCCACGGCTGGTGGCCCCGCCATGCACTCTTGTGTGCATTTGGCCATTGTCTAGTCCGCAATCAGTTCTAGCTAGCTTGACTTTACTTCTTGTACCCCAACCAACGCTAGTCCATATAGTATCCCTTGCATGCTCTATCCCATCACCTTTCACAAATCAGCCACACCGTCCGCCTGACCCTAATTATGTTTGACTCTGAGACGACCCACAACTTTACCACTACCTATCCATCATTTCAACTACCATGCTGCTCACACACCTTATTGAAAAATATTATCTACAATGGGCTTAAGTCATTTGTATTACCCTCAATGGATGACAGAAGCTAACCACATTAAAGGGAAAACCCTTAATAAGATAGACCCAAAGTTTGATGAGTAGAATAGTGAAGACTCCCTGATCATGGCATAGTTACGGATTCTATGGCACCAGAGGTTTGTCATAATCGCATATTCTTGCCCACAACTCACGAGATTTGGGACATCCTCTATAAAACTTATTCTATGAGATAGGGTATAGCCATTTCTTATGAGTTAAGAACCAGAATTTTTCTACTAAACCGGGAGCCTTCTTAGTTACAAATTTTTGTGGGGTCCTTAATCATAGATCAATACCAAAATTTGAAAATGCAGCGTAGCAAGGATGCTTCCACCTTGGTGAATTTTTTTTAGAGAGACCACATCTTTTGGTTCCTCTTTAGTTTGAGTTTCAGGTATGATCTTATTAAGGTTCCAGTTTTGCGAAAGGCATAGTTGTCAATAGCAGTTAACGGCCGGTAGCGGCCGACCCCGAAAATGGTATAGCGGTGTAGCGGGTAGCGGTATTGCCGCTACGGTGAAGTATTAATTCCACATATATTATACTAACAGTCAAGAAACGAGGCAATATCGCTTTTTGTATTAATGCTCAAACATAAGAAGTCACACAAAATCAAACACATAATTCCACAATCAATGTCAAATACAAGAAACATAAAGGAAGGATCCAAAACTAAACACAAATGAACAATAAAATTGTCAAATAGTCAAGTACAAGAAGTGAACTAATGAAGAAAATCATCATCATCTCCGGATTCTCCATCAAATTCCAACATGGGAATGGTGTAGCGGGTAGCGATATTGCCGCTACCTTCCGCTACGGCCAATGTCGCGTAGCGTCGCGGTTTGTTGCGGCTGACCGCTGCTAACCGCTACGGTAGCGGTTTAGCGGCGCTACGGGCCGCTATTGACAACCTAGGCGAAAGGAGAAACTTCCTTCTCTCTTTGAGGTTTTCTACACTATTCGAGGTGAATAAAGCCTTTGGGCTGTCATGCTTGATGACGAACCCAATAATGGATCAAAATTGATAGGGAGCAAGTTTACAAAGCTTCTTCCAGTCCAACAATGACAACTACATCTGATCACACAATGGAGAACTACTTTAATCTCCATGCGAAGGACCGGGGTTTTTGTTGCATAGGAGGGTTCAAGGGTATTCAATACAGCTAGGCCAATCTGACTTCTTAGTAAGGATGAGATGGAGCACCTATGGTCTCTCATTGACTATCTCAGTAAGCCTTTAGCTCTTGTTCTTTGGCCATTGTTAAGAATAGTGGTTTAGAAGTCCCACATTATGTATTTCTCATTGTATTTTCTTTCCTTTCAGTTATATAATTGAACCTCCATTGTATAGTTTAGACACACGGATTAACAAGTTTATATGTCTCATGTAAAGTCTATAGTCTCATGTCTTTGGTTATGTGGCATTTATTCATATACGTTGTCATAATGTTAACAAGTTTGATCCTCATGTTGTCAAATCTGTGTTTCTTGGTTATGCTTCTGACAAGAAAGGGTACAAAAGCTATCACCCTTCAAGTCATTTCATTGTTTTCATAGATATTACGTTTCATGAAAATGAATCCTTTATTCTTGTCCCTAGCTTTAGGAAAAGAACAACATTTGAGAAGCCAAGAACTCTCCTTTTGAATCTTCCTTTCCCTTATTGTCCTCTGGTTTGCACGAATAGCATCTTCTTTTGATACCTCACTTCAACTAGCTAAGGCCAAGGCTAGCATACTGAAATCAATGTATCAAAGGAGAAAAAAGACCCAAACTATCCCAACAACTTTATATGTCTGAATCTATGTTAAGCACTGAAGACACTAGTTCTCATGTTAGTTAGCTCTATACCTTAAATATTCCTTTAATTGACTGCGGTCTTGACCTAGACGACTTACCAACCACACTGAGAAAAGGGAAAAGGTCTTGTACCAAATATTTTATTTCTCAATTTATCTCTTCTTAAATCTTTCTTTGCGGCACCAAAGCTTCATCTATGCTATAGATTCCTTTAGAATCCCAACTTTAGTGGAGAAGAATAGAATATGGGAGGTTGTTGAGAGACTAGGAAACAAAAAGCCAAAAGGGTGTAGAACGATATATACCTTGAAATATCAAGTAGTACACTAGATTAGTATAAAGCAGTTATTTGCAAAAAGATACACTTAGACTTATGGATTTGACTAAAAGAGACATTTGCTCCAATAGCAAAGATGAACACTATGATAATCTTGCTCTTCCTTGTTGTTCAATACCTTTCTCCATGAACGCTTGGAAGAGGAAGCTTATATGGAATTTCCTCTTGGATATGATTCCACTAATGGAAGTGATAAGGTGTGTAGGTTAAAAAAGACTTTATATGGGTTGGAGCAGTCTCCCCGTGCTTGGTTTAGAATATTTCAAACACAATTGTGTCCTGGGGATAAAGACAGAGTCAAGTTGATCATACTCTCTTCTTTAAACATTCACAAGAAGTTAAACTCACTATTCTACTTGTGTACGTTGATGAGATCATTATATTAGGCGATGACCCAAATTAGTAGTTGAGTTTGAAATGAAAGATGTTAAAAGGCTAAAGTACTTCCTTGGAATTGAAGTTGCCTGGTCCAAATATTTTATTTTTCAAAGAAAATATGTCCTTGACCTTCTTAAAGAGATACTTGAGTGTAAGTCTATTGGTGTATCCATTGAACATAATCACATAATGGGAAATGATGAAGAGAGTTCCAAGGTTAGTAGAGCCCAATATCAAAGATTAGTAGGGAAATTGATACACTTGGTACATTCCAGACTACATCTAGTTTGTGGTGTCAGTATTATTAGCCATTTCGTCCATGACTCGAGGGTAAGACACCTTGACTCGAGGGTAAGACACCTTGACTCGAGGGTAAGACACCTACAAGCTATGGACCGAGTTTGACTGTAATTTAAAACCATTTCTGGAAGAGGATTATTATTTAGAAAGGTGGAAATCTATCTAAGAAAGTATATAAAAATGCTAATTATGCAGGTTCAATTATTGACAAGAGGTTAATGTATGTTTTTGGGTGGAAACCTAATAACATGGAGGAGTAAAAAACAGAATGTGGTTGCCCAATCAAGTGCTAAGGCTCAATTTTGAGCTATGTCACAAGGATTTTATGGATTATTATGGATGAAGATCATTTTTTCACCATAGAATAAAGTATGAAGCGCCTATCAATATGTTTTGTGACAACAAATCAGCCACAAATATTATAATCTAGTTCAGCATAATAGGACAAAATATATTGAGATAGACCAACACATCAAGAATGAAAATTTGACAATGGTTTGATATCCACTATATATTCTTAGTAGGAATGATTATTAGTTATCATAGATTAGACTTAATTTTAAGCAAGTAATTATTTAGCCAGGTCTACATATTAGAATGAAACATGTATTGAAATACATTCAATAATAATATTCAGTCCTTTTTCATTGATGTATACGTATGTAAAGTTGTAAAGATGTATGATTTATCTAGTTTCCGTGATGGTACACATAATTATGTACGTGCCATCTGTCTAAGGATTGTGTCTCTGTAGGTTGTATCTTTGTTGGCAAAAGTAGTGGAACATCTTGTAACAGGGGAGACCATGCAAATGACAACAACATCTGATCAACGGTGTAGGTATGCTTCTAAGTCTGTTTCTGTCATATATGAACATGTGTTTTCTTTTGCTACGAAGTTAACCTTTATCTTAGGTAATTTGTATTAGAAATATAATGTAAAATAGAAACCTTTCAACTACCTTCACCTAATAACTTAAATTTTTGAGAGAATTGGTTACTGGACATGGTATCAGAACCTTTGTGATTACTTGATCAAGAGTTCAATGCTTGCAGCCTCATTCTTTTAAAAATATTCTAATAAAATTGTTGAATTTATTAGCACAGGCAGGGGAGCCATTATCCATCTTTTAAGCCCAACGGACTTTTTTGTGACGAGATGTTTTAGAAATATAATATAAAATCTAAAATTATTCTTCCGCTTCCACCTAATAGCTTAAGCTTTTGAGATAGTTGATTTGTGTTATGATGTCTCTCAAATTCCTGGATTTCCCTTGCACGAACACATAATTATAGATCAAACTTAACTTTTAAGAATGCATTGAATCATAGACACATATTGGGTACCTATGGTTGGTTTGATTTTGAACAATTGTTTATATTTTCAGCATGGAATATTATATGCAAAAGACGTACTACAAGGCAGCATCGTTAATATCAAATAGTTGCAAGGCAATAGCCATCCTTGCAGGACAAACAACAGAAGTTGCAACGCTTGCTTTTGAGTATGGAAAAAATCTGGTGTGTATATTCGTAGAGTGACACTTTTCAGTACAATGTTTTCTGTTGTAAACAGTGTGTTTAATGATTAATAGTTAGATGCTTTGCATAGAGAGAAGAAATGAAACCAAGTGTTCAGGATGTGTCCACCATTTTATCTGGCAACATTTTGGTTGATATCAGTCTACCTGTCTGTGCATGTTATAAATGTTTCTGTTTATGATTTTTTCTGTTTGGCATAATTTAATTCCCTCTCCACTGTTTGCAGGGTTTGGCGTTTCAGTTGATAGATGATGTGCTTGATTTCACAGGCACCTCAGCTTCCCTTGGAAAGGGTTCTTTGTCAGACATCCGCCATGTAATTTCATATTTTAAAATATTTTGACTTTTGAACTATAATGTAGAATATTTTAATGAAAGCTAATGAATCCTTGATGGTTAAGCTAGTAAAGAAAATACACACTCTCTTGTCAATAGAACCATAATTCCTCATCTTTCTATCTACATTATGTTTGTCCATGTTTACATGTTGCATATCTGCTTTTAGATGGACATTATCTATGGCTAGGTTTGAATAAAATAACAATCTTTATCATTAAACGGTGCTGAAAGACTTCCATATTTTATTCAGTGGGGACGGATCATGGAGGACTCCCTGGTATTTATACTGGCCCCTCCATTGTTTGTAAACGTGAATGGTTTTAAACCAAATTACTGTTTGTGTCCTTAAAAGCTTGCTTTTTATTTGCTAGATAAAAACAATCCAAGTACCAAGCTTGCTTTGCACGTGAGGTGTACTATTTCAATCTTTAACCAAATTTTCGTATAATCTGTAATTTCTTAATTCACTAATTATAAATATATATTAACCTACAATGAATTAAAGTTCTATCATGAAAAAGAAACTTCCAAAAAACCCTACTAATATAAAATAAGTAAAGTACTGCCTGCTCTTGACTTGAAACGTTTTTCATTTATAACTGTATATGAATGTCTAATTTATCCTGCTTTTTCTTGACCCTGTTGTTGACAGCAAGAATTTTATTTTTGCAGTGATATCAGATCCCTATGCTAAAAACCCTTTTTTGGGTTGATGTCATTTAAAAGAATTTTTTTTCCTGTATATTATGGTTTGCCTTTATCTTTCATTAGATCTGGTTTTGTTTTTGTTTTATTTTTATACTACTGTCTGACCTGGTGATGGTCCAAAAAATTGTTGCAGGGAATTGTTACAGCTCCAATATTGTTTGCGATGGAGGAATTCCATCAGTTGCATGCAATTGTTGAAGAGGGCTTTGAAAACCCTGAGAATGTTGATCTGGTACGCTAACATATGTTACTTGACTGCATTTATTCTACATAATTTGCTCTTATGCGACAGAACAAAAGTAATAACTACTTTGAGATCTTTGGCTTCGGTAAATTTGCCATTTGAAGAGGTTACAATTGGTTTTGGTTGATCCATTCTTTTGCTCATACATATTAAGATTTTAGTTTGATCAGATTATTGACAAGGTACTAGGGCATGTCTGATAAAGTGGTTCAGAATATAAACCCTGAACTTTCCTACTTTTATAGTTAAAATTTCAGCAGGAGATAGTAGTGAGGCTGATTTTTCCCTGCTTTTTATGAAGGTGTATCTTTGATAATAGGTTTGAAGCTTTACTACACATGAATGTTGCACTTCATGTTTTAAATGGGCAGGATAACAGAAAGTAATAGAAAATTAAAATTTCCCAATGTTTATTATGGCTCCAACATTCTTTATTTGCTTGGCTTCTTGAAGTTTTGTAAGTTTCCACCAACCAAACCAAACTATGCAGAATTTAGATATGTTGCTTGAGCATCTGAACTTATGGTTAGGCAATTATGCTGTTTGACTTTACGAAGAACCAATTCAACCCAAAAGTTTAAGCTGTTGGGTGAGAGCCTTTTTAATGGTTTATATTATTCTTTAACACGCCCTCTCACATGAGAGCCCATTGGGCTTGAAGGGTGGATGATGCATTAGGCTCAGTCTACCTGTGCTAAGAAATTCCACAAGAGAAAGTGGGGGGCGGTGAGGATCGAACCTGGAACACGAGGCTCTGATACCATGTTAAGAACCAATTCAACCCAAAAACTTAAGTTGTTGAGTGAGGGTCTTTTTAATGGTTTATATTATTCTTTAACAGACTTGATTTGTTTAAGTTGATTTTATATATTTTTGTGTCAGTGTGGGTGTGGGTGTGGGTGTGGGCGTGCCTGTGTGTGTATGTATTGGTAAATGAGGTTTTATATTTATTTGATTTATTTTTTTGAAGTCATATATTGAGTTTTAATTTGTACCATAAACACTTCTAAGTTCAGGAATGCAAATTTCAGTATCTTTTATGGGGCATCAACATGACTATGACTGAACTAAAGCCTTATTATCCCTTCATATTAAACATGTAGTTTCACAAAACCCACATCATACAAGCTTATTACGCAGATTACATATTTTTATATTTGCATGTGTAGGCCCTGGAGTATCTTGGAAAGAGCCGAGGTATACAAAGGACTAAGGAGCTAGCTGTGAAGCATGCTAATCTTGCAGCAGCAGCAATTGATTCCTTACCGGAGAGTGATGATGAGGAAGTAAGAAAATCAAGGAAAGCCCTAATCGATCTTACTCACATAGTCATTACAAGAACAAAATGAAAGGAAGGTTTTTTTGTACTCCCAGATTTTTTTAGTTAACTAAAAAGAAGGCTCTCATAGTAAGGCAGCAGCTAACAAATGTTTTGTTTCCATTCTTCAATTTTTCCATCATTGTTCCCCGAAGCCCGAAGGTGTAGGGGAAAATAAGCTGTCTCCAGGATTAATGTTATTATTCCTTTATCTTAATTATTTTAGATTAAATCTTTTTCCTTCCTTCTATCTCTTTCCCTTTATATCTGTGTTCCTTTGTTTCTATAATAAACTCTTTTTTACTAGTATGCCTCCTTGTTATTCTTACTCCCTCATTACCCTTCCGCTGCTTGCAAGCGGAGCATTCAACAAATTTATCCCAAGTGATAACACTATCATAACAAGAATATAAAATGATTTTTTCATAAATTTATTAATAAATCTTGTACATTGTAGGGATATATATATCATAAATTTATTAATAAATCTTGTACATTGTAGGGAATAAATTTATTAATAAATCTTGTACATTGTAGGGATATATATATATATATATATATATATATATATATATATATATATATATATATATGGGATAAACATTTCTATAGCCACTTTAGATAAGGTTATCTACCGCTACTATTTATAACTATGTTCTTCCGGAAGAACATAGTTATAACATTAAAGTTGTTGTTTTTTTTCTCTCTACGTCAGCAAGCAAGTTTTAAAAAGTAACTGAGGAGAGAAAAAAAAAATAACTTTAATGTTATAACTATGTTCTTCCGGGAGAACATAGTTATAAATGGTAGCTGTAAATAATCTTATCTAAAGTGGACGTAGAAATATTTTTTCATATATATATATATATTAACAATTAAACTAGGGAACAAAAAGGTTTTTCGAGATTATACACATTGGGCCAGCCACACTGGTTTAGTCCGATCGGTAGGTCATTAAGACTCATTTAAGCTGTTACTTTATTGCATTCCTAAAGCGTGACTTTTGGACTCTTATAATAAAGTATTTTACTCCTTAACACTAGCACAATTCACTCCTTAAGTAGGAGCATCTTTTTTTTTCGTGCTCTGGAATCACGTGGGACGATTAGAAAAGGGAGACAGGAGAGGGAGAAAGAAAAAGGAGAGAGAAATGGATCACTATATATTTTTTCCTTTAAGTAGAGATAAGTATTTTTGTCTCACACATAGTGAAACCTACTACAATAGAAATGATTATGATTCATTCTCATTTATTATTAGAGAAACTTCCCAACATATTTATACCCTTTTTTTTCAACCATTGGAGAAGAATCTTTATATTGATTTCAGAGCTATTATTATGTACAAATTTTTTATTATTTAGAAATTACACCATAGCCAGCGTGTCCTCGCACACGTCCCTTTTTCTCAACTTTTCATGTGACTATACATGGTAATTCTCACCATAGAGCTTTAGTTTATACGGTTGCATCTTTAAGCATTGTTGTATTGAGATGCTTTATCTTTGAGGGAAATAGACATATTCTCATCCACACAACAGTTCAATATGAGAACATAGCTTTCATTTTTTAGTTCAATTGCTTAGTCTTAAAAGTTGAAGTTCTTGATTTTTTTTTTTTTTTTTTTTTTTTTTTTGTGAACTGAATTCTTGATTTCTAACTATAGATAACATATGAAATGTTTTGTTCATAAAATTATATAACATAATTATCATTAAACTAATATGCAACTCTATAATAACATATATAAATGTTGTTCACAAATATTAAAGTTATTTTGTACAATGTTTGGCTATATCTTTTTTAGCACTTAAAGTATACAAAAAAAAAAGGATTTATCCAGTTTATATTGGAAAATAATTTTCACTCATTAAGTTAAAAAAATCAATTTTAAAAATAAAAGCTCTTGATTTCTAACTCTATATAACATATGCAATGTTGTTATAGTTTATTTTTAATTTTGTACGGTAAAGAAAATTTAAAATCTGTATTTTTCGATCGCACCATTTGAATTAAATTGAAATTGTGCAGACCTTTATCTTTTCCAAAAAGAGAATAGTGATGTTGCGCATGTTGGGATTATGATGTATATAATACGTTGAGTGTCAACAATGAAAATTGGAGGTGCATTTTGTATGTTGGAAGAAACTTAACATCAAGTTATTCGGGAGTTTGATTCTTGATAATTTTAATTTTGGTTGAAACTCGAAATTGGATTAGTTAATCTTATTAGAACTTCAAATACCTGTTGACCTCTATTAAAAAATAAATTGTACGATAATAAATAATTTTATTAAATCTACCGAAATTTTTTTGTATAAAATAAGTATGTTGCAAAAGCAGACCAGCGAAAAAGCACAATTATGGAATGATAACATTAGAACAGATCTACTTACCACCACTAAAGTTTATCATTTTTACAACCAACTTAATCACTGTCAATTGAAATTAAATCAACTATTGTCATTTGATATAATTTTTCTTTTCTCTCTTCCATGATTTTCGCCACTCTATCTCTTAACTTCCTCTTTTCATCATGTTTTAGTCATTGTTGATTTGATTTCATCCGATGGTGATTAAGTTGGTTGTAAGAGTAATAAATTTTTATAGTGATAAATGGATCTCTTCCCATGATAACTTAAACAAGATCAGTTTCAAAGTGGCCAAATATTGCCTTTGCCATTATATCATCAGAACAAGAGGCCTGCAATAATCTGTGGGAGATTTGAAACAATTAATTTCATCATGATGTCCACCAAAATCTTTGTGCCACTCAATATAGGGATTTAGGTAATTTGTATTAAGTTGTGTATTCAAATAAAAAAAAATGTGTTGGACCTTAACGAAATTCACATGGTTGCTCATAGATTATTCACTTTTATAAGTTGCACAGTTAATCAAACCAAATTAATTCGGTATCCCATTAAAATTTGACAAAACCATTAAAAAAAAGGGTTTGATTTTTCTAAACTTACTTTAGATAACTTTATCTAATGTTCATCGAAACGACGTTGTTTTAGGACGGAAATCATGGTGTTTTTGTTATTTTAATTTATTTCAGGGTTATAATAGTCTTTATCATTCTATTTTTTAATTTTTCAACCCTAAAACAACGTCGTTTCAATGAACATTAGATAAAGTTATCTAAAGTAACGTTAGATACTTTTTTTCCAAAAAGAAAAATAGCTTATAAGATATCACGTTCAAATTTGCATGTGAAAGCATAGATGAATTAGTATCTCCGTTTATCTATTCACCCAAAAATATGTATTTAAATACAAAATAAAAATATCTATTTTCCCGCAAAGTTAGATAACATATCCCGGCACATTGCCATTTTGATACCACTCGGAACAGTAAAAAAATTCTAGGGAATAAAAGAATGAAAATTGGATACATCTCCAATGGATTATAATGACCCAAAAAAAAAAAAAATAGTCATTTCTTTTGGTTCGAACCGTCATTCACTATGAAATAACGGACGATATATATATATAATTTTTTTGGCAAACAAGAACGATATAAATTTAATAAAACTTTTCCCAATCTGTTTCAAGAAAGAGATAATTTGGAAGTTACGTTACGTGTACTAATCTTTTTTTTAGTACAATTATACTCTTTTTTTTAGTACATTCTCAATTGTATTTTTTTTTTTGGGGGGTACAATTAGGGGCTCAACCCCACAAAAGAAAAAACAACTGGTAAGTAATACGATGCAGTCTAGCAACAGAAGAATAATCTGCTAACAACAAGGTCCTAATACCAAAGAGAATCAGTGAAAACAATATAACCTGCCTCGTCTCCATGACGAGGGGAAAATTAGACAACCAGATCGCACAAAAATTAGCTTCCCATAGTGTGAGATAGCTGGCTTCTCCACTTGAATCGGTTTGGATCGGCGGTTGATGAACACTCTGATAATAAAGTAATAGCTAATTGGATCTGAATTCTCTAATGTAAAAATTCACATGATCATGTAATGTGGAGAATCATAACCATACAAAAGTGAATCAATGGTAAAAAATGAAGAGAGAGCAAAAATGATAAAATAAGTAATTACAAAATCATAACTATTGATTTACCTTTATATGATTGTGATCTTCCCACATAACCATATCATATTTTTTTTGGCACAATTCATTTCCTAGCTAATTAGCTATTGTTGAGTTACTTTCTAAAATGATGTCCCTCCAACTTTTTTACCATGCCAACTCCATTCACTCGAGAATCTCTCAAAGCTCGAGTGAATCTTAAGTACCATTGTAATACGTGCATCATTTCCCAAATTAGAAAACAATTACAACATAAAAGAAAATAATTAAAAAGGATTCAAATGATATAGAATTTTTTTTTAATTTGGAAAAAAAGGAGCACTGAGTTCTGTACCTCGCTGTATTAAAATTTCCCCCCCCAAAGCTCAGCAATGAGAGCCGAACATATATCAATATAATGAGCAAATCCACATAATCAACCTCCCATATGAGTTCTAAAAATGCCACAAGCTGCGGACCTTGGGTTTCCTCTAATATTTATACTTTTTATGGAAATGAATAAGTAGGTGTACTAATCTTTCTCTCTCTCTCCCTCTATATATATCACTCATTTAATACATAGAAATTCTCTCTATATATAACACTCAATTAATACAAAAACTGTTCAGAATATAATAAATTAATGCAATAAAACAAGTAAAAAAAATCAATCTATAAAATATTTTTTTAAGAATATGTTTTTTTTTACATAGAACATGTTTTGAATTTCAAATATAGGCTTTAATATTTCTAAAGTGAATGTAGATAAGTTATCTACATTCGCTCCCAAAACGACGACGTTTTGGGTTGAAAAATTAAAAAATTATAATGAAAAAGACTATTATAATCCTAAAATAAATTATAATTATAAAAATACTTTGATTTCCGTCTCAAAACGACGTCATTTTAGACTCACTGTAGATAAATTATCTACATTAACTATAGAAAAAGCGAACCTTATATATTAGAATGTTTTTAATTTAATACATGAATATTTGATACATTATTAAATTAGCTTATTTTGATTTAAAGTAAAAAGAAAATAATCAAAACATTTCAAAGTGGTTTTCTTTTTCACTTAAAAAAGGCTTTTTGAGTGTGAAATAAATTATTCCTAAAATATGTTTAATCTTATAAAGTGTAATAAAAAGATTCATATTCTAAATTTTATAATAGCTTAATTTTAGTTTATTTATTTGTAATAATATTTTGATAACCTTTTAAAATAAGTTTGCAAGTGTAATTTAACAATAACATGTAAATTTTATAAACATAACAAAATATAATTTTATTTTATTTTGACATGCTAAATTATTTTTCCTATAAGATAAAATTTTATAAAATTTTATTTTTTTCTATTTTACAATTTAATTCATTTATGGCTCAATTTCAATTATATATAATATCATTAATTTCTTTTTTACATTTGATAAACAATAATTAGTATTTAATAGCGGATTCCGTTACTTTTTTTTACAGAGTTGATATCATCAATTGCTTTCAAAGAAATTAATTCTTCGTGCGTGGGAATTAAAACTAAAAATAAAACTGTTGATATTCTTTTCTTTTTTTGGTAGACAATTGTTGATATTCTTAATTATTTATTCAAACCGTCTTGTTTTGGAATTATAATTTTCAATTAAAATTAAAAATAAGTTATAATATAATTTAATTTCATAAATATGATAATTTAAATCAATCAAAATAGTAAAAATATTAAGCTAAAATAAATTCTTTTTAAGTTTTAACAATCATCACGGTCATATCAGAGATATGGACGTTTATTTAGATTTAAAATAAGGAAAAATATTTATTCTTTTAAAGGATATAAACTTATATTATTTTAGATCCTAATCTTTGATTTCTGTCCATCAACAGTTATAATCTATTGGGTCAAACTTAATAGGCCAAGTTATTATTAATTAATTAATAATTTTGATCCAATAAATTATAACCGTTGATGAACGGAAAACAACAGTTAAGATCTAAAATGATATAAGCTTATATTCTTTAAAATGACATATGTTATTTCCTTAAAATAATGAATTTATTAAAAACAAAGGAGAAATATATTGTGACAACCAAGTTGTGTTACTACCAAGTGACTACCAATCAATCTCACCGTTAGATCGATTATGTTGATCCAATAGTCATATTTATTTCCATCTTTGTATGGTCATGATTTTCTAAATTTAATAATTCATATTTATTTTCATCTTTGTATGGTTATGATTTCTCATATTTAATGTTTTCACTTTAAATATGGGAAATCATAACTATATAAAGATGAAAATAAATATAACCGTTGGATCAACATAATCAATCTAACGATAAAATTGATGGGTAGTCCCTTGATAGTAACACAACTTAATTGTCACATTATCTTCCCAAAAAACAAAATAGGAAAAAAACCCTATCCAGAACGTAGAAACTGAAAATAGAAGAAACGGAAGCGGAGTTAAGTAAGCGGCAAATACAACCCAACCTTATTGCGTTAGCGTGACTCTGGCAGTTTCTAATCCTTCCCCGGTGCTAACCGGTAACGACGGTTCATCCGGCTCTTCCACGTGTCCCTTCAACTTCAACGTAACCTTCAACTTCTAGAATAAGAGCCTTCTTCTTCTCAAGCTCGCACCGGTGCGGTGCTTTTCTCTTCCTCCGTTTTCGCTCTGGTCGTCGAGGTGGAACTCATGGTCGCGTAACCGTTCTCGAAGGCCGTTAACGCCGCTTGCTTTGAGAACATGACCTCCATCACCTCCGTCGAACTCAATTACCTTGTGTTTCGTTACCTTCAAGAATCAGGTTTCTTCGCCCTTCCTTCCTTCTTCTTCTTCTTCTTCTTTTCTTCTTCTTTATTTGAATTCCACAATCCGTTAATATACACGCTTGTATTGTCGCCTTTCTTGTTTTCGTTTCCGTAAGGCGTTAGAGTTCTAGAAGTTTGGATGAATTTTGAGTTTTTCGAATGTTGACAATTTCGAGCTGGTTTGAGCGTTTAAAGTTTGCTACAACGAATTAGGGTTAGCTACCGCTGAACCTGTTTTCTGGTTGAAGATAGGAGGAGGACAGAAAATTGTTAGACCCGCTATTAAAAAAAATAGATTTATTGTTCAGACTTGATATTTGGAGTTCTGAAATTCTCTGTTTATTTTACCAGTTATGGCTATCTATCGTGAATAAGGCTCTTCTAAAGTGTGCTTGTTTTTAAAGTGAGCAATTTAAGTGTGTCTAGATTTTAATTGACTAAAATTCAAGGGTAGATACGCCCTTGGTTGTTCACTTTAATGATAATCTTATTTTACAAATTTTTTTTTTTTCCATCTATTAATATTCTTCAACTCTGGAATTATTTGCTGATAAGTAGATGGTACTGGTTATGGTTATTGGGTCCTTTTCACTTTATACTGCGTGAGATGTGTACAGTAGATCAAAATAATGGATATGAGGAACTTGTTTATTTGTTGTTCCTCCTTAAATATTTTTTATTGTAATAGATGTAAGTTGGGAATTGTTTTTGCAAAATGGTAGGAGAAATATCAAATGAAAGGAATAAATGTTTGTTTGGTCTTTAGACTATATGCGCTTTCTTAGAACCATACAGCATGTTATTTGTTAGATATAAGACCATTTGTGTGTCTTTACCTGCTTAAGATTTTACGAGATTTAGTTTTTAACATGATACCAAAGCCTTACGTAAAAATGAGCCTTTGCATTATGTACCCTTCAAGATCAAGGGCTATTGTTTGAAGCGGTATGTTAGAAATATAAATAGAGCCATTCATGTGCGTTTCCCTAACAGCTTAAGTTATTAGGAGAGTTGGTTATTGATATAATATTGGAGCCTTTATGTTCGAGTGGTGAGGAGTTTGACCCTTGCCACCCCTGTAAATTAACATTTGAATTTCAATACCAGGCAAATTGAGCCCGTGTATTGTACACGCTTCAAACCTAAAAGACTATTGTTTGAGACAAGAGTATGATATATGAGACCATTCATATGCTTTTGCCAAATAGCTTAAGTATTTAGGAGAGGTGGTCCTTGAAAATATCCCTTAAAAGAACGTTATTTTTAATTTGTACTTTCTTAAGATGCTGACGTCAATTTCACTTTTTTAAAATTTGATGTGTGAAGTGATTTGTCAAGATGCCAACGAAGAGTATAATAGGAAGTAATTCTTTACTGATAAAAACAATGGAGACTAGCTCCTCACAAGACAGAAACTGAAGAATGAAACTACAAAGAAGCAAAATGCTATCTCTGCCCTATGGCTTCAGCCACCCAAAGACTACCCAAATGATCCTATGCCCTCTGCACCTCCATTTCCTTTATATTCAGGATCTCCCTTCCACTACCCCAGTACCCTCCACACCAATTCCCTGCTGCCAAGTGTCTATTCGGTTAGAGCCACCTTTTTCTTGCATAACAGTCCCCTCCCACTATACTTCCCAGCTCATTCCCCAATCTACCTTTATTCTTGCTTTGCTTTCTGTGATAACATGAATTGGAGACCCATGGTTTCAAGGCCCATCAGAATATTTTGGGGCTGTTGTCTTGGAGGAATCATAGTGATAGGAATCAAACAATAAAAAGAAACAACTATTGAATAATTTCTCTGTATTCACTCAAATCCAGTAAATCACCAAGGTTTAACACGAATAAATCTAGCTACATCTCCATACTAATTGCTATGGCAATAACAACAACGAAATGCAATAAACAGGGTCCTTCGAGACACCTTGAGAATCTCCCACAATTGCCTCAACAACAGAAATGACTTCCACAGTGACTCAGCAGATTCAGCATTCCCATTGGGCTGCCACTTAATCCTTTTACGGTCTCTAATATAAACCTTACCGAATTAGGCTTTGTGAAGTTGATCCCTATCAATACTCCCCCCCCTAAAGAAAGCACCTTGTCCTCAAGGTGGAAGTCAGGGAATTGAGCCTGGATAACGACAAAGTCTTCCCAAGAATTCTCGAAGGAGGGAAGGTCATGCCACTGAATTAAGACTAGCAGTTCCCACTCCTCAGACAGCTCAGAGGGTATAGGTTGAGCATTGACAATAGGACGTTCCGCTTTCTTGAGCAGGGACACATGAAAAACTGGGTGAACTTTACTATTAGCCGGAAGAGCCAACTTATAAGCAGTGTCACCAACCTTCCCCAACACTTCAGATGGACCATAGTAACGGGGACTTAGTTTTTCATTGACTTTAGAAGCCAATGATTTCAACCTGTATGGCTGGAGGCGTAAATAAACGAAATTTCCCACCTTAAACTGCATGTCCCTCCTCTTTTTATCCGCCTGCGACTGCATACGGTCCTAAGCCTTGTGTAATTGCACTTTTAAATCCTCTAAAATTGCTTCCCGATCAGCCAACAATTGAGAAATAGCGTCTATTGCCGGGAAACTATTACCAACTCTCAAAAGACTAGGAGGACCTACACCATAAAACGCCTTAAATGGGGTCATCCCTGCGGAGTCCGTAGAGGTGGTGTTACACCAATATTCCACCCAATACAGCCACTTAGGCCAGGTGCGGGGTTTGGGACTGCAAAGACAACGTAAATAAGTTTCAAGACTCCTATTCACCACTTCTGTTTGCCCGTTTGATTTTGGATGGTATGCAGTTGTAGAATGGAGTTTAGTTCGGTCGCATTTAAAAAGTTCAGACCAAAAATGACTTCGAAACAACCTGTCTCTATCCGACACAATGGTAAATGGGAAACCATGCAGCCTCACCACTTCCCTTACAAACAAATCAGCAACTTCTTTGGCAGAATAAGGATGAGATAAAGGCAAGAAATGAGCATATTTTGTGAGATGGTCGGCCACTACAAAGATAGTATCAACAGCGTGAGCTTTAGGTAATCCACCAATAAAGTCTAAGGATACATCTGTCCATACCTGAGATGGTATCGGCAATGACTGAAGTAAACCCGCAGGGGATAAATTCTGAATTTTACTCTGATGACAGATTGCACAATCCATCACATATTGCTATACTGTTTTCCTCATTCCCTCCCAAAAGACAACCCCAGCCATTCACTTGTAAGTCCTAGAAAAGCCAGAATGCCCTCCAATACACGAATCATGGAATTCTGACAGAACAGAGGGGATAAATCTAGAATTTTTGGACAAGACTAACCTATTTTTGTAGAAAAGGCGACCTCTATGCAGATGGAACCCCACATGTGACGCCAGATCTTCCAGGAAGTTCTGGATAATGCCTTTAAGCCTTGGATCCATCTGCACTTCGCGGTCAATCTCCTCCAACTGAGGTAGTTGCACCATAGAAAGCAAATAGAATTCTTCGCTTCGAGACAAAGCATCAGCAACGACGTTTCCTTTTCCAGGCTGATAATGTATCTCAAAATCATATCCCATTAATTTTGAGATCCATTTTTGCTTCTCCTTGCTTAACACTCTATGTTCCAACAAATATTTGAGACTCTTTTGATCCGTTTTAACAAAATGTCTACCCAATAAATATAGTCTCCACTTCTGGACAGCAAACACAATGGCCATTAGTTCCTTTTCATAAATTGGTTTCCCTATAGCACGCTGCGAAAATCCCCGACTAATAAATGCCAGGGGTCTGCCCTCTTGCATAAATACTGCCCCAATGCATTTACCGGAAGCATCAATCACCACAACAAATGTCTTGGAGAAATCGGGTAATGCTAAAACAGGAATGGTACTCATTAACCCCTTCAACTACTTATATGATTATGATTTTTCATTGAATGACTATTCATCTATTGTATTTTGGTGTAAATATGGGAAAAAAGCTTTATGGAAAAATGGTGGTTCAATTCTATGTTGTTTAATAGAGAATTAGACTACAGGTGCGGGTTAAGTGAATCGGCGGATAGTTTTGGTCCTATTGAAAATACCAATCTAAGTGAACACCCAATTTTTACGTATCCTTCAACTGATCAAAAGCAGCCCATGCTTCGCCTCCCCATTTAAAAGCATTTTTCTTCAATAAACTTGTTAGAGGATGCGTTATCTTGCCATAATCTTTGACAAACTTTCTACAATAACCCGTTAATCCGAGAAAACCCTTCAGCCCCTTAACGTTCTTTGGGACTAGCCATTCTTCCATGGCCTTTATCTTTAAAGGGTCAGCCCGTACTCCTTCTATATGACCCAAATACTCTACTTGCTTTTGTCCAAAAACACATTTCTTTTTATTCGCAAACAATTTATGATTTTGCAGAATAACAAATATTTGCCTCAGATGGTCTACATGTTCAGCAACTCCTTTGTTGTACACCAATATGTCATCGAAGAAAACTAGAGTAAATTTTATCAGATGCGATTTCAGTACGTCATTCATAAGGGCTTGAAATGTTGAAGGGGCATTAGTAAAACCAAATGGCATTACTAAATATTCATAATGCCCGTCGTGAATTCTAAAGGAAGTTTTGGGGATATCTTCCTCTTTCATTCGACTCTGATTAAAACCCGATTTAAGGTCCAACTTACTAAACACCCTTGACCCCCCCCAACTTCGTCCAATAATTCATCTACTACTGGAAGGGGAAACTTATAAGGAACTATGACTTTATTTAAGGCCCTATAATCAACACATACTCTCCAGCTGCCATCTTTTTTTTCTTTTTTTTTTACCAATATGACATGGCTTGAATGAGGGCTCACACTAGGTCTAATCATACCATCACTCAACAGCTCCACAACCAACTTTTCAATCTTAGATTTCTGATAATAAGGATACTTGTAAGGTCTGTTGTTGGGAACCTAATTACCCGACTTTAAGATGATGGCGTGATCCTAACTTCTCCTTGGGGGAAATCCCTTGGCTTCAACAAAATCATCTGCAAATTCTGCTAGCAGATCATCAAGCTCCTTCCAATCCTCCTGGAATTTCTTAGAGAGCAAGGAATTTTCCCACCTCACGTAGTAACCCTGTCCATCTTGCACTAATGCTTTGACCATCGATTTAAGAGAAGAAATGGTCCTGATGACGGATCCCCCATAATGGTTGCTTCCTGCCCATCAAGAACATATTTGAAGGTTATCTCCCTGAAATTTGCCTTAATTTTGCCCAACTCCTTGAGCCAATCTAGCCCCAACACCATATCCGTGCCACCCAAATCAAACAAATACAAATCTTGAAAAATGGTGCTATTCTGAATCTCAATAACAACTCCCCTACACACCCCATGGCATGCCACCTTATGCTCGTTTCCTATCTCAACGTTGCACGTGGGAGTTACCTCCACCTTCAATCCCAGTCTGTCAATCAACCCTTGTTTAATGAAATTTCTCGACGCCCCACAGTCAATGAGCACCTCCACTCTTTTGTCGCCAATAACCCCCCAAACCTTCATGGACTAACTTGATGAGATACCCATAAGACTTTGCAACGATAGCTGAAGAGCCATTTCCTCATCATTTTTCAATGGCCAACTAGACTTCTTCCACAGACTTCGGATCTTCAGCGTCTTCGCTGTCGATGATGAAGAGATGAAGTTGTCGTGCCGCACACTTGTGTTTGGGTCCTTATTTTTCATCGCACTTGAAGCATAATCCCTGTCGATTTCTGACGACGTTGCTCTGCGACGGCCCACCCTGCGTCGCACGCATTTGGGTCGATTTGGGGATTTTAGAAGCTACCTTCGTTGATGCGTGCCTTAACTCGCTGTTGGAGGTTCCCCATTGTTAATTGTTCTTTGGGTCCATATTGGGTTTCAAAGGCCCACTAACATTTTTAGGGCCAAAGAACCCCACACCTTCTACCCAAGCAGCATTCTTGAGGTCAATCTTTTGGGCCAATTTCATCATGGATGCCAATTGCAGCCTAGGGATCATAAGCACCTCCTCTCTAATGCTAACCTTCAGCCCACTCAACCAAGGACTTTTCAACACTTCTTCATCAGCTACCGAACCAGATTATTTTTCAACGCGTAAAGAGGACCATACGGATTATCAAGCATCTGCGTTTGGAAACGGCTTAAAATTTCTTGCCTGAACAACTCCTAGTTAACGGTGGCATTGTTGAGCTCCCACCATTGGTACCACATGAGAGCTTCACCTTATAGAACTACCATTACTGCTGCAACCTTCTCATTCTCATCATCTCCAATCTCATTCACTTGGAAGTACCTCTCTACCTTGCTCAACTAGGCGTATGCGTTTTGTCCGGAGAACGTTGGGATTTCAAGCTTCCTACACCTCAGCTCCCTATAACTTATCCCTCCACGATTCCTATTCGAACCAGATGAATCGCTTCTCCTTCTCCCTCCAAGATTACGTTCGTCTCTAAATTCTCACTGCCTTATTAGCATTGCTCGCAACAACATTGATCTTAGTAAAAGGTGCTTTGGATGCGCGTGGTTCCAAATTAATGCCGGATAAAAAGGAAACGGCACTGTGCCGGTATATCTTATCCATCTCCCCATAAGAATAAACATCTCCAGAAATTTTTTTTAATTCAACCCCCCCTTTTTTTTTCTCCACTCGGACTAATCCGCCTACACGACTACCTATGAATGTCCCAACTACAAGAAAAGACCTCATGATAGTCAATATATCTATTTTTCTTCAAATTCTGGATAATTACTATTAAAAAAAAAATTATTATGATTAGGAATATAAAGAAATATACCCTGAATCTTATTTATCAAAATGTGATTTTTTGATATTGAATAATTGTTCTGTACTCACTCAAATCCAGTAAAAATCACCAAGGTTTAACATGAATAAATCTGGTTACATCTCCATAGTAACTGTTATGGCTCAGATTTAACAGTAAAATAAAGGAAATAACAGCAACGAAATGCAATAAACAGGGTCATTCGAGACACCCTGAGAATCTCCCACAATTGCCTCAGCAACAAATATGACCTCCATGCCACTCCTATTTCACGCACATTTCTAACTGCCGGCGTAACAAACTCTTCTAACAGACTGCTGACTCAGCAGATTCAGCATTCCCATTGGGCTGCCACTTAATCCTATTATGGTCTTTAACATAAACCTTACTAAATTGGGCTTTGTGAAGTTGAGCCCTATCACATATATACTAGGGCATCTATCAGAAGTAGGAAAGCTTCTTGAGATTGTTTTTATAATGTTAATTTGTTTATTTTTGAACAAAAAAAGTTTGTTCTTTCCATTTATATGAAGCTCTTTGTATTTATGAAATGGCAATATGAGCCTGCAACTGATTTGGTTTACTGGCTATTTGTATTACATCACTACTGCAGGTTTCACACATTCTGCTTTTGCTTTTGGTTATGAGGCCGGTATTAACAAAACCCCCATTGATGGAAATTTGGTGCCGCAAGGTGCTCTGGTTACATTTGTTCAGAAGGGGCTACATTATTTTGAGATGGAAGCCAACTTGAGTAATGTTAGCATTCTCTATTTTTTGCATTCTTGATTTACTAGCAACATAACATTCATCCATATGAGTAGACATTTTGAAGCTTTCACACCCTAGGTTTTGTGTTGATCAATGTTTCTTTTAAGCCTGCCAGTGTGATGCAGACCTGGAAGAAGATTTTTCATTCTTAAAACCTTTGGATCTTATCACAAAAGATGTGCATGAACTTAGGCAAATGGTAAGTGAAAGACGGAAAAAACTACATAAGGAGAGAAATAAGGAATTTGAAAAGGAGCATGTGGGTGAACGTAAACGGGCAAGAGAAAAGGAAAGACATGAAAGGGAGAAAGAAGTTGAAAAGGATAGGGAGAAGATAGAAAATGATAAAGAGCGGGAACATCAGCGTGGAAATCAGACTCACAGAGAAATAGTCACGGATCAAGAAGATAAGGTTACTGTAAAGCATGCAGAGAATGGAGCAATTGGAGGTAATCTGATGTTCAATGGAATTGGTGTACATTGTCTTGTATAAAATATGTTCTTCGTTTCATGTTTGGCATTTGGCTACAATTTTTTAATTAATAATCTACCCTAAATGTCAATGTCATGTAATTTTGTTTTCCTTTGCTATCTTTCTTCACATTGAACGGATCATATTCTCCTACTCTATCTTTCTCCCTCTCTTTTTTCCCAACTCCATTGTCTCTGTTCTCGTATACAAGTGTTCTGACTTTTACTATGAATTCCAGTTCTTTTTCTTCTTCTTTTTGACTTCGTTCCTACGTTATCATGCTCTTCACAGTCATGCCATCATCGACTCAATTATGAATGTCTTTAATTTTGGGAATTGTTTTTTGTATTTTTTCGGCATTTATTTGTGTATCAACATCAACATCACCTTTATCCCAAATTAATTGGGGTCGGTGGTAGATGAACCCATATGAAAGATACAAAACGGTTTTTAAAAAAAAAATAAAAAAATAGTAAATAATATATATATATATATATATATATATATAGATTAAATATCTTATATCTATAGTCTTTAGTATGACGGTATCCGCCATCCTGCTATAAGCATATTTGGAGTCTACCACTCCGCACTATGATCTGGGATTGATAACTTTGACTAGCGTCTAGTGGTCTATTTCAATTAATATTCTTCTTTCAAATATGGCTGAAAATTTTTCGTTCACTTTAATAGGACCAGAACCAATGGACATCTGTACAACATCAACATCTCAGCCATGTGAAATTCCTAGTTCGGATGTGACAATTTTGGAAGGGCATACTTCAGAGGTTAAATATATCATCAATTCTTTTCTTTGTAGACTTCTTAAATTTTCTTTCATCTACTTTTTCATCTATAAAACTCTTTGTTGATTGGCCTGTTCACTGTCCATTTAGGTGTGTGCTTGTGCATGGAGTCCTAAAGGATCTCTTCTTGCATCAGGGTAGGTATCTCTGTGAATGATTTATTTTTGCATTAAAATGTGTTAACATGTGTATAGCATTATGGTTGATGTGCATAACTTTGTGCATCTTGGATTTCCATTTGCTAAACTTCCAATTTTGTTTGACTTCCTTATGATATTCTTGTACTTTACTATCATCATTTCAATTTTTAGGTCTGGGGACTCAACAGCTCGTATTTGGACTATAGCAGAAGGGAGATGTAATCCTGATTCACAGAATGGTCCTTTGAATGTGTTGGTGTTGAAGCATCTTAGGGGTAGAACAAATGAATTGAGTAAAGATGTCACTACGCTTGATTGGAATGTGAGTTCAAATGCATATTTTGATTGATATTTATATGTATGAATCCAAAGTTGTTTTTTGGTTCACCATTATAAATTTTGTGAAGTTCCTTCTCCCCCACCCCTTTTTCAGAAAAAATAGCAAGGGGGATATAATATAAACTGCTATACAGAATTTATTTATTATATAATATTTATTTACTATTAAGGAGACACAAATTCTGTGTTTGGCAACTAGATATCTAAGTAAGATGGTGCTGGTTTTTGTCTAGAACCAATTTTCCTAAAAGGTTAATCTTTTAGGTGAAGATACATGAATGGTTATATAGTTTTATAACATTTCTAACACGTCTTCCTCGCACAAGAGTTCTTTGGACTAGAAGTGTGGACAATGCATAAGCCCACCTATCATGTTCTCAACTTTAACAATTTTATTTAGAACGGGGGCAGCGAGGATTGTACTTTAGACCACTTCGTTATAGAGGCTCGTATCCCATGTCAAAAGCCAACAACATCTCTAACACTTTTTAGATGTAGCATGTTTGGTTATAACGTAAATTTTAAAAATTGGTTTTTGTTTGAACTAAATTAAGATAGAACTGGTTCTTGATATGTTTATTTTTCGTAGTCCAAATTTCTCAACTCTTTTTCTTCTTTTTCATTATCGCTTTCTCTCTCCTTCAGCTAGACTTATGGGTGGTTTTAGATAAGATATAGTTGTAGGGAACACTCATTCTTGCAAGAGTTAATTATTATGTCAACTCTTTTGAATTAGATAATCACATTCTTTCACATTTACATAAAAACTTGTATATTCTTGGAAGACCCCTAGATGCTTCAATAAGAAAGTTATTAACATGGTGGAGGGGTCAATTTTTCCCTATGTTCCAAATTGCCCTTTTAAGTCATTTTTCCGTGTGTATATATATATATATAAAAATTTTATTTTATATATTTTTCTTATTTTTTATTATTTTCTTTAATCTACTCTTGGTTTATTTTAGTTTAGTTCGTTGACCGCTGACTCCAAGTTGTTTGGGATAAAGCCAATGTTGATATTGATGTATAAATATTAGAATCAGTTTTGATGTAGTTTTAACCAAACTCAGCTCAGTTATGAATTAGTTTTTTTTTTATAGGGACTTGTATAACTGGTTCTATCGTGTACCATTTTATATTAGTTTTGGAAGTTGTTAATTACCCATGTTTGAGTTTAACCAGTGAAAATGTGTAAAGGTATTTTTTTTTTCTTCCTCATTTTAAATTAGTTTTGAAAGTTGTTAATGACCCGTGTTTGAGTTTAACTAGCGGAAATTTGTAATGGGATTTTTATGTATTTTTTCTTCCTCTCCTGTTGCTTCTTCTCACGAGTTTCAGACACATTCAAATGATTCTTTGGAGAATTTTTTTATTTTCATTTTTGCAGTGGGAAGCAACTGCCTTAGTTTCCCTATTTGTTGCCTCCCCTTCAGCAATCTTGCTATTTATTGTGCCTTAGAAGCATGATTGAAACTGTTGAGATATATAAAACCATTAATATAGCCTTACCCAAAAGCTTAAGCTTTTGGGTTGAATTGGTTCTTTACATGGTATCAGAGCCTCGGTGTACCGGGTTCGATCCTCTCTGCCCCCCACTTTCTTTGTAGTGGAATTTCTTTCTTCGCATAGTAGGTGGGCCTGTCCATTGTCCACCCTTTAAGCCCAGTAGGCTCTCGTGTGAGGGGGCGTCTTGAGATATATAAAACCAATAATATAGAATTGGTTCTTTACAGAAACTTATCTCTGCCCTGAAATACTTCATTAGACACAAGCCCGATGTTATAAATCAATTTCTAAGGCATTCTTGTTTGAAGCCATGGAGAGTGTGCTTTTATATTTCATCTTAATTCTCTTTGTTTCCTTTTCTCTTTGAGCTGCTAAAAAAATGATATCTTGCTCTTTCAATTGCTAGTTGCATGCTTCAGTTAGAAACTAGTAAGTCTAGCTGTATAAGTGCCTATTTCTGTCTGAAAGCTCCGTAGAAACCTTTATTTAGTTCGTTATTGTTAGAATAGATATGATTAGATACGATTAGATTACTTCCTTATTCCTTTGTAATTAGTTCTGGGCTACTCACTTAAGCCCATTAGGGTCTCTATATATTGTAACTCTTTGTATCAGATTAATACACAACATATTATTTTATATTCAAGTTGGTACCAGAGCTCTTTTGTTCTGAGGACCCTCGCTTCTGCTTAAAACCTTGTTTTCGCTTTAAAACCTAAGTCCACTGCTTAGGAGTCATCTTTTCTTTGTCGTGCGTCCTTCCGGCAAGTCATCAAGGGCTGTAAGTCCCTTCTGGGTAATTTCCGAACGCGTCAGCACCTCCGACGGTCACCGGAACCACCGTCCGCCACTGTTCAGGCTGCCGGAGAAGTTTTCTGGCGAGTTTTCTGCCCGGACCATACGCGATCAGAACCCTCTCCTCCCGGCCACCAAGTCTGTGGAAGTCCGACCACCATCGGAGCTCGCTCGCGCCGCCCAACCCCTCTGCGCGTGGGCCTCACGCGCCACCTTCTGCCGGCGTGTGTGCACTGTTCCGGCACCTTTTTCCGGCCGGTCTTGGACAGACAAGCTCGCCTTCTCCTCCTCTTTCCGGATCTGTGGTTGGTTCTTTGTGGGTCTGACTTTTTGTGCGCGCCTCTTCTTGATCGGTGATCAGGTTCGTTCCTATTTACTCGGTTTATATCTTTGTGATTTAATATAATGGCAGCAAATTCTCCTGTTCATTCGGAGGTTAGTTTTCCACCTCCTCCTGTCAAAAATTCTTCCAATATCATCTCCACCAATGTTGGGTCCATTACCTCTTCAAAGTTGAAGGGTTCGGTTAATTACAAGAACTGGGCCACCTCTATTCGAGTTTGGTTCTTTGGACAGGGACATGGGAACCATCTCACGACTAAGTCTACTGATGTTCGTAAGGAAGAAAAATCTGATTGGGAAAAGATTGACAACCAGCTTCTGAGTATCCTTTGGCATTCTATTGATCCAGTCGTCTTGGACATCTTCTACTCCTTTCAAACTTGTACTGAGGTGTGGGAGGAAGCTAAAAACCTCTACACTAATGATGTTCAGCAGCTCTATTTCATCATCTCTCAGTTTATGGAACTGAGCAAATCATCCGACATTCAGATGAAGACATATGTTGGCAAAAGTCGATCTTTGATGCAGGTATATTTGGATATGTTGCCTTACCCTACTGATGCTTCTGCATATCGGAAACAGGTGGAACGTCTCTTTATGGTTGCCACACTATCTGGTCTCCCCGAAGAATATGATAATGTCCGGGATACTATCTTGACTAGCAGGGAGCTTGATCTATCAATGACGTATCAGCGTCTTTTGAATCTTAACAAGAAATCTGGTCCTGCATCGTCTGCTGTTGTTGATTCCACTGCTCTAGTTTCCCGTACTGACTTTCGCGGGAACATTGGAGGTGGACGTGGTCGTGGTAGAGGCCAGGGAAGACGTGGCCCAGGAGGACGTGGTCAGCGACCTCGTTGTCATTATTGTCAGCAACTTGGTCATTATGAGGAACGTTGCTACACAAAGTATCCTCACCTGCGACCTTCTCATGCTGCTAATATAGCTCAATTGGATTCTGCTTCAAATGGTACAGTCTCTCTCTCCTCTGAAGACTATGCAGCATTCCAGACCCTTCTAAAGAAGATCTCTCCTCAGTCTCAGGCCTCTGCTTCAGAAATTGGTAATCCCGTTGCTTGTGTTTCTCATTCTGCATCACTTGGCCATTGGATATTTGACTCAGGTGCTACTGATCACCTCTGTGGTAACAAGGAACTCTTTTCATCCCTTACATATTCTGATAATTTACCCTCTTTTACCCTTGCTGATGGCACTAAGGCTATTGTTCATGGAATTGGACAAATTTGTCCAACCTCCTCATTGACCTTGACATCTGTCTATTACATTCCTAACATCCCTTACAATTTAATATCTGTTAGTAAATTGGTCAACACTCTTAACTGTATTGTCACCTTCTCAAATCATTCTGTTTCTATGCAGGACCCGGGTACAGGGAAGATGATTGGAGTGGGCCGTGAGTCACGGGGTCTGTTCTACCTAGTTGTGCCGAGTCCTTCCGTTGCTTGTTCTCTTACAGAATCTCCACAACTCATCCACAGTCGCCTCGGGCATCCTAGTCCTTCCAAATTACAGAAGATGGTTCCTCTTTTGTCCGGTCTTCAGACTTTAGATTGTCAGTCATGTCAGCAAGGAAAGCACATACGCTCCTCCTTTGCTAATCGAGTCAATAAATGAGCTGATGCTCCTTTTTCAATTATTCATTCAGATATTTGGGGTCTTAGTTGTAGTGTGTTTGTTTTAGGTTTTCGGTATTTTGTTACCTTTATTGATGATTTTTCACGTTTTACTTGGATTTATTTAATGAAAAACCGTTCTGAGTTGTTTTCTATTTATCAAAATTTTCTGCTGAAATTCATACGCAATTAGATAATGCTAAGGAATATGTTTCTGTGAACTTTTCTAATTTCTTAGCCAAACAGGGTACTTTACACCAAACTACTTGTCCTCACACACACTCCACAACAAATTGGAGTAGCTGAAAGTAAGAATAGACATCTCATTGAGACTGCACAGACTCTTCTTATTCACATGCATGTTCCTTTTCACTTCTGGGCCGATGCAGTCCTTGCCTCTTCTTTTCTCATCAACTGTATGCCTTCATCTGTGCTTGATAATGACATTCCTTATAACTTATTGCTTACAGATGTTCCTCTCTATCCTCTATCCCCACATGTTTTTGGTTGTACCTGTTTTGTTCATGATCTCACCCCTGGTAAGGACAAGTTAACATCCAAAGCTTTTAAATGTATTTTTCTTGGTTATTCTCGTCTTCAAAAGGGTTATCGTTGTTATTCTCTCGATCTTAAGTGTTACTTAGTTTCCGCTGATGTCACTTTTCTTGATCAACATCCCTTTAATTCTATCCCATCTCAGTTGTCACAGGTTGATCATGTTCTTCCTGTCCCTTTTCTTGACTTGTCTTTGCCAGCTGCAGGTGCTTCTATTCCAGATGAGCAACCTATTGCTTCTATACCTGCGGAGCGTCCACTTTTCACCTATCAGCGTCGCAAACCTGTGCCTCCTGTCGACTTGACTCTTGATGACTCATCATCCACTGCTGTTGCTTCTTCCCATCCGGATCCTTCACCAGAGGCTCTTCCCATTGCTCAAAGGAAAGGTCACGTACTACTCGTAACCCTTATCCTCTTTATACCTTTTTGAGCTATGACCGTCTTTCTTCACCTCATTTCACCTTTATTTCTAGTATTTCTTCTATTTCTATTCCTAAGACCACAGGTGAAGCACTTTTCCATCCAGGGTGACGCCAAGCGATGCTTGATGAGATGACTGCACTTCATTCCAATGGCACTTGGGACCTTGTTTATGCTCCTCCAGAGAAGTCTATAGTTGGTTGTCGCTGGGTGTTTACTGCGAAAGTTGGACTTGATGGCCATGTTGATCGACTCAAGGCACGCCTAGTTGCAAAGGGTTTTACTCAAATATTCGGCCTTGATTATAGCGATACATTCTCTCCGGTCGCTAAGATGACGTAAGTTCGCCTATTTCTTGCTCTTGCTGCTGTTCGTCACTGGCCACTCCTTCAACTTGACATAAAAAATGCCTTTCTTCATGGTGATTTACAAGAATAAATTTGTATGGAGCAACCACCTGGTTTTGTTGCTCAGGGGGAGTCTGGGAAGGTGTGTCGTCTTCGCAAATCCTTATATGGTCTTATGCAGTCTCCTCGGGCATGGTTCAGTCGCTTCAGTTCTGCTGTTCAGGAGTTTGGCTTAATTCGCAGTAAAGTTGACCACTCTGTATTTTATAGGATCACATCTCTTGATAAGTGCATTTATTTGTTAGTCTATGTTGATGATATCATCCTCACAGGGAGTGATCAAGCTGGAATTCGTCAGTTAAAACAGTATTTATTCAGTCAATTTCAGACAAAGGACCTCGGGAAGCTGCGTTACTTCTTGGGAATTGAGGTAGCACAATCTAGACAGGGCATTTCTATCTGTCAAAGGAAGTATGCCTTGGATATCCTAGAAGAGACTGGTATGTTGGGGTGTAAACCAATTGATACACCCATGGATCCCAATGTCAAGTTATTGCCCGGACAGGGGGAGCCGTTATTTGATCCTGGTCGTTATCGGAGACTAATTGGGAAGCTCAATTATCTTACGGTAACTAGGCCAGACATTTCTTTCGCTGTTAGTACGGCTAGTCAGTTTCTTGATTCCCCTTGTGATTCTCATTGGGATGCTGCTGTGAGGATCCTCCGATACATCAAAGGAGCACCAGGAAAAGGTTTGTTGTATTCAGATCAGGGAAATACAGAAATTTGTGGTTATTCAGATGCTGATTGGGCAGGATCACCCTCAGACAGACGCTCTACTTCTTGCTATTGTGTCTTCTTTGGAGGAAACTTAATTTCTTGGAAGAGCAAGAAACAACCTGTTGTTGCTCGATCTAGTGCAGAAGCTGAATATCGTGCAATGCAGTTACTACATGTGAGTTAATCTGGTTAAAGCAGTTGAGTCAGGAGCTTCGTCTTTGTGAACAGAAACAACCCATGACACTCATTTGTGATAATCAAGTTGTGCTACATATATCCTCTAATCCTGTATTTCATGAGAGAACTAAACATATAGAGATTGATTGTCACTTCATTCGAGAAAGGATTCACTCAGGAGAAATCAAGACCGCTTTTGTCAACTCTAATGGTCAACTAGCGGATGTCTTCACTAAAGCTCTTAGAGGTCCTTGAGTTGAATTCATTTGTAGCAAGCTTGGTGCTCACAATATATACGCACCAGCTTGAGGGGGAGTGTCAGAATAGATATGATTAGATACGTTTAGATTACTTCTTTGTTCCTTTGTAATTAGTTCTGGGCTACTTACTTAAGCCCATTAGGGTCTCTATATACTGTAACTCTTTGTATCAGATTAATAGACAACCTATTATTTTATATTCAAGTGTTATCTTCCTTTTTACTATCAAATAAGATTTCGTTTTCTATAGCACGAGTAAATAACTCCAACTGTTAATCTATTTTTCTGATTTTCCACTTACATCATCTCTACTTTTTAAGACCCACACCAACCTCGGTTGAACTGGGAAGTTTGTCAAAATCATGAAAATTAAGGAAGGTTTATTGGGGATAATTTTTTGTTCGTGGTAGGTTTGTGCAGGTTATGAAAACAGAAGGGAGATATGTGAAAAATGAAGACAGAGGGGAAGTTCAAAATCTTTTTCTTAAAATATAAATATACTCTTTTGTAGCTTTTTTCTGAAAAATATCTTTGGCAGTATCCCCCCCCCCCCCCCCCCCCCTCCTCTTTCTCTTAATTTTGATGTGCTTTGGTATTATTCTGGTAACTGTAAGATGTGTAAATTCGAGGTTGTTATTATCTGTAATGTTTGCTTGTAACTCTTATACCTTATGGAGAGTTCACTCTGGCGTCTGTTGTGCAGGGGGAGGGGACACTTCTGGCAACTGGTTCATACGATGGGCAAGCAAGAATTTGGACCACTAATGGTATGACATTTTTTTCTATGCTATTCTGCCATAACTTTAAGGGCTTATATATGATGAGATCAGATGAAAAGAACTCAAAGATTCGTTGTTTTTAATTTTTGGCGTAATATTTATTTTGCTGTTAAATAATTGGGGTGGGTAATTTCTTGCTATCTTGGAAGCCTATAGAAGGTCAAGTGGCCCGAGGTGAACATTGTCTTTAGCTTCTTGTTTACATATGCATTTACTCCTACAGTCATGATAATAAAGGAAGAATTTAAATCATTATATGCATGAGAAGCTATTTGAATTAGTATTCATGTGCTTTTTAGGCTCTGCTGGCCTAATTTTGCTGTGTAAGTTGCTATATGCTTTTTAGTATTCATTTACTCAAAGATTCATTGTTACTCTTAATTAGTATTCATCAACCGATGTATGGGAGCTATGAAGCACCGATTCGTTAAAAAAAAAAAATTCACGTATCCCATACGCGTTCCAGACGGGTACGCTTCTGACACGGCTTTTGCAGTATCAGATGGGTCAACGACTTCTTCGATACAGTCAAATGAAAGTTTTGAGAATTTTTAAAAAATGAAGGTTGTTTTCTAACGAACAATTTTGGCCCAAAAGTACCTAAATCGAAATCTCACTTGTATACTCACCTCATTCGAATAAGCTGTCTCTGTTCTTCCTCTCTGGACGCCGTTGTTGTTCCTCCTTTTATGCTCCGGCGACCTCTTTCGATCTTCCTTCTTGGCTTCGTACATCTGCCTTCTTCAGATACCTCTCTCTATTTGCATGTGCTGATATGCCTTTGGGCTTTGTATCTGTCGTTTGTCTTTATCCTTTCTCGTTGTCGGTTATCCTCATTCATTCTTTTTTTCTTTATTATGTATATGAAGGAGCAGAGCATTAATAAAATTGTATATCTTTTTTTAGTTTTGGGAAACATTATAATATCGTATATCTTTCTACCCATTTTTATTACTAGTCATTTTGATAAAAAAATTAAAATAAAATCAATTTTGTTAAATAATATTTTACACACGATTTAAATTACCATCTATACTTTAATGTTTTCTCTTTTTTATGTGTCATTGTTATTATTGTTGTTCATTAATTTTTTTATTTAATTTTGTATTATGTTAATTATGTATGCTTTTGTCTTGATTTTCTTTTTATGTTATGTATTTCTTAAATTTTATGATTCTGTTTGAATAATCTATTATCTATGCTTATAATTTTTCTTTTATTATATTTTGTTAATGTAAAATATATTCTTTATATTAAAATTATTATTTAATACTAAGACGTATCGGAACGTATCGAAATATTAGTATTTTTGAAGTAACGTATCGACATCACGTATCGGGAACGTATCGAAAACGCCGTGTCGGTATCGGTGCTTCATAGTATGGGAGGCTGATAGGGATGTGGATAGGATAGGAATTGCAAGCTAATTTATGTTTAGGTTGAACTAGATGTAAACCTGTGCAATGCGCTGGCAAATTTGAGAGATACATTAGTAGTTGTTGAAAGAGAGTAATTATTGAGAGAAATGATGTTTTAACGTAAAACAATTACGTCAAAATTTTTTACGAAAAATATTTCCATAAAAAAATTTCGCAAAAATTTTTGACGAAAAATATTTTCATCAAAATTTGAGACTAAAAATATTTCTATAAAAAAATATTCAGAATATTTTTTTTGTCAAATTTTTTTACGGAATCTAAATTTCGTCAAAATATTTCAAAAAAAAATATATTCATCAAAAATTTCGACGAAACACATTTCCATCGAAATTTTTTGACGGAAAAAAATTTCATCAAAATTCTTTACAGATTTCAAATTTCGGTGAAAGTTTTTGATGGAAAATTTTTTGCTATACTTTTAGACAAAAAAAAGATTTCGTCGAAATTTTTAGCGAAACACATTTCCATCGAAAATTTTCAACTAAATATTTTCGTCAAGTTTTTTGATAAAAATATTTCCATCAAAATAAGTTATGATAGGCAAAACTTTGGTGGTGACTGGAACCAATGAAGCGAATGGATAAAAGAGAATGAGCTAGGTCAAGGCAATGGGAATGGAGAATCAAGGCAAGAGAACAAGATGTGGCTGTTTGAATTGAAGGGATGGAATGAAGGATTGTGATTACTTGGAAATCAAGATGAAGGGAAAAGGTTTTGCTCTGATTTTTGGTTCATGAGAAATTAGAGCAACAGCAGTAGTCTGTTCATTTTTCAAATGGCTACTCAACTTGTAGAGAAGCGTATGGCTATTCATTTTATTTTGTTAAAAGTAATGGCAATTGTTTAGGAGAGACCTGAGAAGACTATAAAGATGGAAGGTTGCTGATCTAAAGGAAGACCAAGTACTAAAGGAGGTTGACTCAAGTGGTACATGCTTGATTATGCTTGTTAGAATATTAGATATGATATGATTAGATTTGATTAGATATGATTGGATTCTGTCTTATCCGTAAATAGTCTGACTGTATTCTGACTGTATTAGGATTAGGTTTGGATTAGGTTTGGGCCTTACACTTAAGTCCATTAGGGTCTCTATATATTGTAACTCCTTGACACAGATCAATAAACAACGTATTCTTTTACATTTATCTTGGTATCAGAGCTTTTTCGTTCTAGGAACCCTCGCTTCCGCTCAGAAACCTTGTTTTTTGCTTTAAAAACCTAAGCCCACTGCTTAGGAGTCATCTTTCTTGCCGTGCGTCCTTCCGGCAAGCCTTCTAAGGCTGTAAACAGCCTCTGAGTGATTTTTCCAAACGCGTCAGCACCTTTGACGGCCACCGGAACCACCGCCCGCCGTCAGAATCACTGTTCAGGCAACCGGAGACTTTTTCCGGCGACTTTTCCGACCAAACTTCACGCGATCAGGACCCTTTCTTCTCGGCGACCAGGTCTGTGGTGGTCCGGTCAGCAACGCATCTCCCACGCGCCACCTGTCTTCACTGCGCGTGGGCTTCACGCGCCACCTTCTGCCGGCGCGTGAGCACTATTCCGGCGACTTTTTCCGGCCGGTCTTGGACAGAGAAGCTCGCCTTCTCCTCCCCTTTCTGGATCTGTGATTGTTTCTCTGTGGGTCTGACCTTAGACGCGTGGTTCTTCTTGATTGGATATCGTTTGCCTTCGTTTACGGCTTTTATATTTTTTCTTTAAATGGCAGCAACATCTCCTGATCTCTCGGAGGTTAACTCTTCTTCTATTGTTGCAAATATAGCTCAGTCTGACAAAGCATCATTTGGTTCAGGTTCGGACTGTGCTGCACTCCAAACCCCTCTCAGGAAGGCTTCTCCTCAGTCTCAGCCTTATACTGGTAATCCCGTTGCTTGTGTTTCTCATTCTACATCACTTGGCACTTGGATATTTGACTCCGGTGCTACCGATCATCTCTGTGGTAATAAGGAACTCTTTACATCTCTTACTTATTCTGATCATTTACCGTATTTTACCCTTGCGGATGGAACCAAAGCCCCAGTTTGTGGGATTGGACAAGCTCGTCCGACCTCTACCTTGGCCCTGACATCTGTCTATTACATTCCTGGCATCCCTTATAACTTAATTTCTATTAGTAAGTTGATCCACTCCCTCACTTGCACCATTACTTTCTCTAACCTTTCTGTTTCTGTGCAGGATCCGCGTACGGGGAAAATGATTGGAGTGGGTCGTGAGTCACGGGGGCTTTATTATCTGGATGTGCCTCGTCCTTCAGTAGCATGCTCTCTCACAGAATCTCCACAACTTATCCCCAGTCGCCTTGGTCATCCAAGTCTTTCATAGTTGCAGAAAATGGTTCCTCTTTTGTCCGGTCTTCAGTCTTTAGATTGTGTGTCATGTCAACAAGGGAAGCATACACGCTCATCTTTTGCCAGTCGAGTCAATAAACGAGCTGATGCCCCTTTCTCTCTTGTTCATTCAGATATCTGGGGTCCAAGTCGTACCTTGTCTGTCTTAGGTTTTCGGTATTTCGTTACCTTTATTGATGATTTTTCCCGTTGCACTTGGACCTATTTAATGAAAAATCGTTCTGAGTTATTTTCCATTTATAAAAAGTTTTCTACTGAGATCCATACTCAATTTGGTGTTTCTATTCGTATTCTACGTAGTGATAATGCTAAGGAATATGTTTCTATTGATTTTTCTAAATTCTTGGCCACACAAGGTACTTTACATCAAACTACTTGTCCTCACACTCCACAACAAAATGGGGTGGCTGAACGTAAAAACAGACATCTCATTGAAACTGCCCGTACCCTTCTTATTCATATGCAGGTTCCTCTTCACTTCTGGGCAGATGCTGTACTCATCTCTTGTTTTCTCATCAATCGCATGCCTTCATTTGTGCTCCACAATGACATTCCTCATAATCTATTGCTTCCAGATGTTCCTCTTTATCCTCTAACTCCACATGTCTTTGGTTGTACTTGTTTTGTTCATGATCTCACTCCTGGTAAGGATAAGTTAACATCCAAAGCCTTTCAGTGTATCTTTCTTGGTTATTCTCATCTTCAAAAGGGTTATCGTTGTTATTCTCCCGACCTTAAGCGTTACTTAGTTTCCGCTGATGTCACTTTTCTTGATCAACAACCCTTTAATTCTATCCCATCTCAGATGTCACAGGTTGATCATGTACTTCCTGTCTCTTTTCTTGACTTGTCTTTGCCAGCTGCAGGTGCTTCTATTCCAGATGAGCAACCTATTGCTTCTATACCTGAGGACCGTCCACTTCTCACCTATCAGCGTCGCAAAACTGTGCCTCCTGTCGACTCGACTCTTGTTGACTCATCGCCCACTGCTGTTGCTTCTTCCCCTCCGGATCCTTCATCAGAGACTCTTCCCATTGCTCAAAGAAAAGGTACACGTACTACTCGTAACCCTTATCCTCTTTATACCTTTTTGAGTTATGACCGTCTTTCTTCACCTCATTTCACCTTTGTTTCTAGTCTTTCTTCTATTTCTATTCCTAACACCACAGGTGAAGCACTTTCCCATCCAGGGTGGCGCCAAGCAATGCTTGATGAGATGACTGCACTTCATTCCAATGGCACTTGGGACCTTGTTTCTGCTCCTCCAGAGAAGTCTATAGTTGGTTGTCGCTGGGTTTTTACTGTGAAAGTTGGACCTGATGGCCATATTGATCGTCTCAAGGCACGTTTAGTTGCCAAGGGTTTTACTCATATCTTTGGCCTTGATTATAGCGATACATTTTCTCCGGTCGCTAAGATGGCGTCAGTCCGCCTCTTTCTTGCCGTTGCTGCTGTTCGTCACTGGCCACTCCTTCAACTTGACATCAAAAATGCCTTTCTTCATGGTGATTTACAAGAAGTTTACATGGAGCAACCACCTGGTTTTGTTGCTCAGGGGGAGTCTGGAAAGGTGTGTCGTCTTCGGAAATCCTTATATGGTCTCAAGCAGTCTCCTCGAGCATGGTTCAGTCGTTTCAGTTCTGCTGTTCAGGCGTTTGGCTTAATCCGTAGTAAAGTTGATCATTCTGTGTTTTATAAGATTACATCTCCTGATAAGTGTATCTATTTGTTAGTCTATGTTGACGACATCATTCCCACCGGAAGTGATCAAGACGGAATTCGTCAGTTAAAACAGCATTTGTTTAGTACATTTCAAACAAAGGACCTTGGGAAGCTGCGTTACTTCTTGGGAATTGAGGTGGCGCAATCAAGACAGGGCATTTCTATCTGTCAAAGGATATATGCCTTGGATATCCTAGAAGAAACTGGTATGTTGGGGAGTAAACCAGTTGATACACCTATGGATCCTAATGTCAAGTTATTACCCGGACAGGGGGAGCCGTTATCTGATCCTGGACGTTATCGGAGGCTAATTGGGAAGCTCAATTATCTTACTGTGACTAGGCCAGATATTTCTTTCGCTGTCAGTACGGCCAGTCAGTTCCTTGATTCCCCTTGTGATTCACATTGGGATGCTGCTGTGAGGATCCTCCGATACATCAAAGGAGCACCAGGAAAAGGTTTGTTGTATTCGGATCAGGGAAATACAGAAATTTGTGGTTACTCAGATGCCGATTGGGCAGGATCACCCTCGGACAGACGCTCTACTTCTGGTTATTGTGTCTTCTTCGGAGGAAACTTAATCTCATGAAAAAGCAAGAAACAACCTGTTGTTTCCCGATCTAGTGCAGAAGCTGAGTATCGTGCAATGGCAAATACTACCTGTGAGTTGATCTGGTTAAAGCAGTTGATTCAGGAGCTTCATCTTTGTGAACAGAAACAACCCATGACACTCATCTGTGATAATCAAGCTGCGCTACATATATCCTCTAATCCTGTTTTTCATGAGAGGACCAAACATATAGAGATTGATTGTCACTTCATTCGGGAAAAGATTCAGTCAGGAGAAATCAAGACAGCTTTTGTCAACTCGTCTAATCAACTAGCAGATGTTTTCACTAAAGCTCTTAGAGGTCCTCGGGTTGAATACATTTGTAACAAGCTTGGTGCTCATAATATATACGCACCAGCTTGAGGGGGAGTGTTAGAATATTAGATATGATATGATTAGATTTGATTAGATATGATTGGATTCTGTCTTATCCGTAAATAGTCTGACTGTATTCTGACTGTATTAGGATTAGGTTTGGGCCTTACACTTAAGCCCATTAGGGTCTCTATATATTGTAACTCCTTGACACAGATCAATAAACAACGTATTCTTTTACATTTATCTATGCTTAAGTAAGATCTTGGGTTCAAGTTTTTGTGAATGCAAAAAATTTCCTTTGGAGAGCTAGCCCCACTATAATGTGGATGTTCCCGGCTCAAATAGGATTGCCTTACGTGGAAGATAACTGTGGTTTATCCAAAAAAAGAAGAAGACTAAGTTGTTGTTTGCACACATGGCTAAGGAAAAAAGAAGAATTGAAGCTGACATGACAATTGTAGAAAGCTTGAAGATGTAACGATGACTTCATAGCCTGTGCTTCAGCTTTCATATGTTATAAATAGTTTTTCTGTAACCATTAACATGAAAATCTCTTCCATGTTTTAGATGTCTCTCAAAAAAGTGTAATTGTTTCAAATTTTACCACCCAGCTTACCTAAAACCCCTCTCTCCCGTTTTGTTTGGGGTAGGTGCCCTTAAAGAGCGAAACAAGGACAAAGAAAAAGTATTCATTTGCATTCAAATGCCATTTCATTTTTAAGATTATCAGAACATTTAGATTTATTCTTTTGCACTCTCGCTTGGTAGACCTGTTTGTCTACATTCACAGCTGTGTGTGTATACATTCTTATCACTTTTTGGTAATGCATTTTATGTCAGCTTTTTATTTTTTTTCCCTTGCCCTTTATGGATGGAATCTATTAGAATAGATATGATTAGATACGATTAGATTACTTCCTATCTGTAAATATTATTCCCTTGTAATTAGTTCTGGGCTACTCACTTAAGCCCATTAGAGTCAATAAACGAGCTGATGCTCCTTTTTCCATTATTCATTCAGATATTTGGGGATCCTCGTTGTGTTGAGATATATAAAAACATTATTGTAGCCTCACCCAATAGCTTAAGCTTTTGTGTTGAATTGGTTCTTTACATGGTATCAGAGCCTTGGTGTACCGGGTTCAATCCTCACCTCCTCCCACTTTCTTTCTAGTGGAATTTCTTTCTTCACTCAGGTAGGTGGGCCTGTACATTGTCCACCCTTCAAGACCAGTGGGCTCTCGTGTGAGGGGGCGTGTTGAGATATATAAAATCATTAATGTAGTCTCACCCAACAACTTAAGCTTTTGGGTTGAATTGGTTCTTTACAGAATCTTTGTACGGAAGTTGAAGTTGCACCATGTATGTGCTGATTATCAGTGTAGCTCAGGTGTTGATGTTTGTATTTATTATTGTCTAGTGGCTCTAACACTGTATGGTTGAAGAACCAAGGAAAAGTAAGGCGGACAGGAAGGGAAATGGATACTCATATTTGTTTTCATTTGAGATTGTGAATGGAAACATAAAAGAACCATTCTCCTCCAAATTGTAAGGAAAGGGAAGCAAAAGAAAATTTTCTGTTTTGATAAAAGAGGCATTGAAAAAATTAAAAACAGGAAAAAGTATATTGTCCTTTTTCTTTCTGGTCTTGTTAGACATACACAGAATGTCAAGGTAAATAACTTCCCTTCCCCTTCTCTACTGATTCTAACATGGTCAGATTGAAATTGTTGTCATTGTGCAAGTTCATCTATCCCATTATGTAGCCAGCTTGTTTGATGTATTAGACTACCAGTTAGTGATTTATGCATGTATCCAAAAGTTGCAACGCATCTTTTGTGCATAAATTGATGTGGGCTAGTTGGCATTCAGCTGATCAATAATATGAGTAATGATACTCCCAAAGCCATTTGGGTTATAAAAAGTCACAATTGTGTCTCTGGGTTATTGATTTTATGCATAGTTAATTGTATAATGGCTTGGTGACAGAGTTTTGATTTTCTATAACCAAAATGGTAGAGAACAACATTACTCTACTTATATAATTATTTTTTTTAAGTCAGAAAATTAATTTAATAAACATTAAAACTAATTGATTTGGGTGCTAGAAGATCAGTGTTTTAAAACCCGGCTTTGGCCGGCCGGGTTTCGGTAACCCGGTGCCCTCATCGAACCGAAAACCAGGTTCAACCGGTGTTGAACTGGGTTTAGCCGGTTTTATGTTAAATTTTGTAAAATATACATTTTGCAAGCAATGAGATTCGAACTAGAGTCCCCTTGTTTGAGGATCAGAAGGCTTACCACTAAACCACTTTTTTTTTTTTTTTTGGTACATACCATTAAACCAATTTTATTTTTTGAACATAATGTTCATAATTTAATATTTATTATATATTATTTTGAAATTCGGTTGAATCCGAACCACTGACCTAGTGATCCAGTACCTCGACTGAGTCAATGGGCGGTCCGAGTTTTAAAACACTGTAGAGGATATTATACTCTGCTTTGACAATTTGTAGTTTATGCTTTCTTGCATATGCACTTTTTGTTATGTGTTCTTTCTATTTGTCTTGTGAGAGTATCCTCCATGGGTATATTGGTGTCTGATATCTGTTGTTACATTGTTACATTCATCCTATTTGTAAAAGCATTGAATTTCTATTGTTAATTTCATTAAGCAAGCTTTGGGTATATTTGAATTTGCTTTTAGGACTTCCAATTAAGATCGATGTTTTGATCATGTGGTGGTATCTTTGACCAGGTGAATTGAGGAGTACATTAAGCAAACACAAGGGACCAATATTTTCTCTGAAGTGGAATAAGAAAGGCGATTATCTTCTGACTGGAAGTTGTGATAAAACTGCGATTGTGTGGGATGTGAAGGCAGAGGAATGGAAACAACAATTTGAATTTCATTCAGGTCCATATTTTGAATGTATATTTTAATCAAGGGAGCTTTATATAAAATGAACTCTTGGTGATAATTTTCTTAACGATGTTTATGAATGATTGTATAATTTGTGCTTGATATGATGTGTAGGTCCCACACTTGATGTTGATTGGCGCAACAATGTGTCTTTTGCCACATGTTCCACTGACAATATGATATATGTTTGCAAGATTGGTGAAAACCACCCTATGAAAACTTTTGTTGGGCACCAGGTTTGTACATGAGATCTTATTTTGTGGCATTATGCTTTATACGGATACCTGATACTTACGCTGAAACCATACACTATTAGGAGAAAGAAGGGTTCGTACCCTACTTTCTTAACAAGTTAAAAAATGGCTGGGAAGGTTAACTATATGGATCAGTGGATAACCCTGGGCTGCTACTTTGAAGACGAGTACTTACTTTCTGAGTGTCCTACTATTTAGTTGGATATCTTATGAAAATGTCCAGCACTGTATGAATTAATCTGGTAGCAAATTGAGTTTGTAATTTGCTTTGATCAAGTAAAATCCCACAGAACTAGTTTGGGCTCTGCATGTTTGCATTTTATATCGTAGTTGGTTGAGGTTGAAGGTTCAGAGATCTGAAATTGTTGGCTGTTGAGTGATCAGAAAGCAATAGTTTGAGATATTTCATTGAAATGCAATGTGATTGGAGGATTCTTTCAGGGCGAAGTTAATTGTGTCAAATGGGATCCCACAGGTTCATTGCTGGCCTCCTGTTCTGATGATATAACGGCAAAGGTAATATTTGGTCACATAGTAACTAATCTTATCTATGTTATCATTCCATAATTGTGTTTTTTTTTCCTCGTACAGGCTTTTGTAACTTCATTTTATAAAATTATATATCAGAAAAATATGAAGTAATTTGTGAAATTACTGTCTGTACGTTTGATGTTTATTGTTTTGATTGGATACGTGATTGTTTTGTAGATATGGAATATGAAGCAGGATAAGTATCTTCACGATTTAAGGGAGCATTCCAAGGTACCCTGAGTTTTGAATGTTTTCCAATGTCAGTTCTTATAATTCTATTTGCATTTGAATTTTTTACTCATTCCGCATGTTGTTGGGGAAACTGAATAATTTGCTTTGTAGGAGATATATACTCTCAGATGGAGCCCCACTGGCCCTGGTACAAATAACCCTAATCAAAAATTGGTGTTAGCTAGGTAAGCTAGTTGCTTGGTGAAATTAGGTTCATTAGTCTTTATTTACATCCATGCATTTATTTATGATTTCTCAAAATTTAGAATTATTGTTTACTGTATTTCCTGACCCCAAATCTTAGTTGATAGGTCACGACTGCTTCAGTTTGATTTCTCAAAATATTGGCAGCTTGACAATTTGATTATGATGATCGATACCTGCATGCTCTTCTTTTTTTGGTTCGGTACTACTATAGGAGAAGTTTGTTTTCAACTTCGCTGTCATCTGTTTGTGCAGTGCTTCATTTGACTCAACTGTAAAGCTTTGGGATGTGGAACTCGGGAAACTCATCTACAGCTTGAATGGACACACGTAATTTTTTTTATAGTTTTGGTTTATTTCTGTGAGGAACTGTTATAGCTCTGGTTTATTTATAATTTATATGTGCGGTTAGTATGCGATTCACCCGCCCCCAGCCTCTTTCCATTTTCTGCTTCGGAGTTGTAAACTCTGAAAGAAGACTGATCGACATGAAGTTCTAATCTTCATAATTTCACAAATGCTATAGATCTTTATGCAACTATGTTAAGTTCCTAACTTCCAGTTCAGCTGGAAAAATTTGAATACCCCTGGAAAATGGATTTACTTGTGGAAAAAAATATATCAGGCATAGTGAGAGGAGGCTGATAGATTCTGTTTTTTTGAATGTGATAAATTCCTGTGTTTCTGACATGATCATTTGTTCCTGCAGACATCCCGTATATTCTGTTGCATTCAGTCCCAGTGGTGAGTATTTAGCCAGTGGGTCTCATGACAAATCTGTGCACATATGGTCATTGAAGGAAGGCAAGATCGTCAAAACATACGCTGGCAATGGAGGCATTTTTGAGGTCTGTTGGAATAAGGAGGGTGACAAGATCGCTGCATGTTTTGCTAATAATACAGTTTGTGTTTTGGATTTCAGAATGTAAGATCCTGAGAAGCATCAAGTTCTTCTGGCTGTTGCATTAAATTCTTTCTTTTCCCTCCTTTTTTGTGAGATTGGTGGAAATGTATTTTGGGTGGGTAGGTTTCCCATTTTAACCATAGTTGTAGGCATAGCTCATTGTTCTTGGACCCTGTTATATTTTGCTATATCATTTAGTGAAAAGTAATTTGTAGGAGTGCATTATTAGTAAGCAAAAATGTATAGATTTAGTTGGACAATATTCTGTATAATCGTCGTTTGATCTCTCTAGTATGTATCTAGTTGTCTTTACTCTTCTAACATGGATGGCTTAGAATTAACTTGGCCTCCGTTGTCTGCCCCTTTGTTACATATGGGTATGTTTGATGGAGAAGGGAATTGGGGGGAAGGTTTTTGATAAATCATCTCCAGTTTAAAAGAGTTTTATAGAATGATGGGATAAAATGATCGATTTTCTTTTGATCTTCTAAAACATCTTTATATTAGTTCAAATTTCAATTTCTGGGGATGTTTAACATTGAAACAAAGGGAGTAAAAATTATTATCGAACTCGTTATTAATATTAATTTTTGTTTTATCATCATTTCAATTTTTTATTTTTTTTCTTCATTTGCATCTAAACTTGCTTTAAAAGAAAAAATAAACTAGACATTTTTTTTTTAATACAAGTGGAAATTGAATATATAACTTAATATAACTTAATTTTCTTTTCACTTAGTGACTTAATAAGCTAGATTTATTTTCTAACCGTTGATAAAATTCGGCCTTTTGAGTGGCTGTGTTATTATTAGATTAGACTTTTACTCTTGACACACGTTTGCAATATTTCTTAGCGCAAATATTGAAGGGGAGAGCAAATTCACCCTCATAACCACACCTTCTCTAATTACACTCTCAGTCGATTTGTAAGTTACATTCATAGAACTAGTAAATAACACTGGCCATCTGAAAGGAGTAGATAACATTAGCTGCGTTTTTGACTGTGAGAGGGATGAAATTAGTGACGATGAGATGGAATGGACTGAGAATGGAGAAATTTGTTTCATGGTTTTTCTCAAATGGATAAATTTACTTATGATGTGCTAAGTGGTAAGTTGTTCACCTTTTAATCTACCAGGTTGTTGTGTTAAGGAATATGTCAGAAAAATGTAATATAAAAATTATTCTTATAATATTCACTTAATAACTTAAATTTTTAAGTTAAATTAATTCTTTATATAATATCGGAGTTTGATTTTCCCATCTTTTATTATATTATTAAATAATTAAATATTGTAAAAAATTAACACCAATAAGTTAATTGTTAACCCTTCAAACATAATAAACTCTAATGTGAAGAGGTTTTTCAGAAAAAAATAATATAAAATTATTTTGACTTTTATAAAAACAACTTAAATTTTTGAATTGAATTAAATCTTCAATTTACCAGGATTTGAGTAACAGTCGTAGGTTGAAGTGACATGTTAATATTCAGTTTTAAATTTTGTCTTAGAACCCGTGGGTGCTTCTTCCACAAGAAAGGAATTTTATGGATAATAAATTAAGTTCACCAGTAATCCCCACATGAACATGAACCGTTCTCAAAGTGGTGGAACCGAGTCCGGTCCCTCATTATAATTTTACGCCCAGTGATCTTAGATATCATTTTCATCACAGCATGACAATCCAAACACACTCTAAGGTTCTTTACAATCTTGACTGTGATTCCAGGACGGGTACTTATAAGTCCAAATGCTAAGGCAAGCTTCTCACTGTGAACTTCCAAGGATAGCTCCTTTTGTTGCTCCCCTATGTCATGTAAAACGATATCTGTCTTTGGGGTATAACCATTGGCCTTGAGCCAACAATTTATCTCCTCCAGCATCAAATATATATCTTTGCTCTTTGGGTGTCTTAAATCACCAGCAAGAAACTCATGTACCTTGTTGTTAACTTCGATTAAGCTACAACCAGGTTCCTTTTCAACTCCACTGTCTTTCATCAATGATCTAACTTTAGCCACACCAGCCCAGTTGCCAGCAGCAGCATACATGTTAGAAAGAAGAACATAAGTCCCTGAACTAGCAAAATCATGGCTCACAAGATACTCTGCAATTTCCTCTCCCAATGAAACATTGTTATGGAGTCTACAAGCCCAAAGTAAAGTTCCCCATAGGACAGGATCAGGATCAATCTTCATGCTCCTCACAAGGTCATAAGCTTCTTGCAGACGCCCAGCTCGGCCAAGAAGATTCACCATACATCCAAAATGCTCAATCTTCGGTTCCATCTTATATTCCTTCTTCATCAAATTGAAAAACTCCCATCCTTTGCTGACTAAACCAGAATGTCCACAAGCACTCAAAACAGCAATAAATGTGATATAAGTAGGTTTGACTCCCATGTCACACATCTCATAAAACAACTGAAAAGCTTGTTCACTAAATCCATGGATAGCATATCCCATAATCATCGAGTTCCAAGCCACCACATCCCTACCATCAATCTTATCAAAAACCTTGCGCGCATCCTCCAAGCTCCCACATTTGCAGTACATATCAACCAAAGCAGTACACACAAGAACCTTAGCCCCACCAAACCCAATGCCATTGTTCTCAATATATGAATGGACCCATCTACCAGACTCCAGAGCACCAAGCTGCCCACAAGAATTGAGAACAGCCAACACAGTGATTTCATTAGGCCTAACATTCTCACCAAGCATTTTCCTAAAAAGCAACAAAGACTCATTTGGGAACCCATGTTGAGCATACCCATCAATCATAACGTTCCAACAAACCACATCCTTGTCCTCCTCCATTCCTTCGAACAACAACCTAGCCTCCCGGAGCCTTCCATGCTTAGCATAGCAAGTAAGCATGGTCGTCACAGAAACCAAGCTCTTCTCACCCATTTTATCAAACACCTTCTCTGCAGACACAACATCACCCCCTTGAGCATAAGCATCAACGAGACCCGTAGCAACGTAAAGGTCAGAACCTAACCCGAATTTGATGACTTGGGAATGAATGGCTCTCGCGGGTTCAAGAGCACAGTCCTTGAGGATAGAGGAGAGGGTGAAGGCATTGGGTTGAACATGTTGGGTAAGCATTTGCACGTAATAGAAGAGTGCTTTGTCGAAGAGACCACAGTGCACGTGACCGTGGATAATGGAGGTCCATAAGAACACGTTTGGGTTGTGGGTGCGGTTGAAGAGGGAAACGGAGTAGTGAAGGTGGCCCACGGTGGAGTAGGAGCGTTGGAGCTTGAAGTTCAAGATAGGGTGGTCGTCCAATCCACGCCGAACAAGAGCGGCGTGTATTTGGAGAAGCTGGTTTGTTGATTTGGACCTGTCGATTAAGAGGGCCAGCCTGTCTACCTGAGTTGTTGGTGCCGCGGCCGTGCGCAGGGTGGAGGACGGCGGTGGTGTGGTGAAAAGAGTGGCTGAGGACATCCTTGTTTTACCGTCGTGATTTGTGCACGTAGTGTGACATGAATCCAGTAGTTATTATTCCACCACTTATGAAGTATTTTATAGATTTATAATATTTGTATTATTTTAAAAAAAAATTAAATTCGTTTCAAAATGGAAGAAAAATACGAGTTTTGTAAAATTTGAAATTGATTTATATATTTAAAATTGGAGTTTGATATTTGTCATTTTAAATGACATAAGTTATGTCATTTTAGGGGAAAGAGATAGATACAGAAAAATGAAAATTATGGAAGAGAGAAAGTGAGTAGTTTTTTTTTAATTTAAAATTTATATTTTTTGTGTCTGTATCTCTCTTAAAATGACATAACATTCTGTCATTTAAAATGAGAAACTTTTTCCGTTAAAGTTAAGGATTATATTGCGAGTGACGAATAATTTGAGATCGGGAGTAAGCTCCTTATTTTATTTGTAGACACACTTCTTTTATTTTGAAGTACATGATGAGTAGATAAATAAAGATTTATAATTTTATTTATCTAGAAATGAATTAATTAAAATACACGGGAAGCACTGCTCCGGAAATTCAAGGTATGTGATTGCAAGTCAATTATTACTCCATTTATGAAAAATAAGAAGCCGCAAAAGGATGACGCCTAACTTTACAGGAGTCTGATTGGAAGTTTATTATATCTTAAAGCCATACACGATCACACAAAATGTATGCTACAAGTCTTTTCTCTATATTCATGTTGAACCCAAGCCAAATTCATTTTGGAGCAGCTAAAGAATACTAAGATAAATTACAGGTCCAAAAGAGTTCGATACATGGTATACTACCATAACTAAAGTTTGCTCGACTGCATCAAATAGGGATTAGGCACGATAAGAAGATAACATAACTTGAAGAGCATACACGATATGCCTTCTTATTTGATTTTGGAGTATTCAGATGATAATTTATCGGTTAATTCCTTAAATTTGGCAGATTCAGTCATCAAATATAACTCATCAACTCTACTTAAGTCGCTCCCCATAAATATAAGTTGTCATGAGATAAAAGACGAAATATGTTCATTATACAGAAAAAATAAGGAGTGTGCTGTGTCACACTTAAAGATGGTAATTTTCAATATGACCCATTGACACGAAACGGACAACAAAAAATTTATATTCGAATTGATCTGTTTTTAAATTTATATTGTTTTCGTGTTGGTAAAAAGTGACATGAAAATACAAAATTGACCCGCGCTAATTTTCTTGCTGGCTATTCTTGTCATATTGTGTTGTGTCGTTTGTGTCAACACGATATTGGTGAGAACAATATTTAATATATAAGTTTGTGCGTATTTTATTATGTTATATCAATCTGCAAAATAAACGAGTCATGTTCGTATCGAAGATTTTCATCCATTTTTAAATTCATGTCATATTCTGTTAAATGCATTTGTATCATATATGCCACTCCTAGTCACATCAATAAGTTTTCTTGTGTATTGAGTACTAAATTCCTCATTTACTCAATATAAAAATTGATAAAACATCTAATTTAGATTTTTTTTAGTTTGGGTTTAGGTTTCTTACCCAGTTTATTTATTTTCTCCGTACCAGTAATCCACCTCACCTTCTTTTCCTTCGCATTGCACTACAAAGTCAGAGAGATGGCTATAGACACTTAGGGTGTGCATGACAACCATTCTATTTCCTAGCATTGTTTCTGAAAAGAAACAATTATTTTCTATTTCTGTTCCTTGGAATAGTTTCTGAGAAAAAAATGTGTTTGATAACATATTCAATTTTTATTCCGAGAATGAGAATTGTGTTTCATAACACAACAAATAATATAATAAAAAATAATTCCTATTAAATATAAAAAAAATTTGGATCATCACTTTCCTTTCCATATGGTGTGGTTGTGGTGGCGACGGCGGTGGAGGGTGGCATGGTGGTGGTGGCGGCGGCAGTACGGCGGCGGTGGTGGCAGTGATGTGGTGCTGGTTGTGATGACAGTGGCTGCGGGGATGGTGGTGGTGGAGGTGACGGCAGTGACTGCGACAATGGTGGTGGAGATGGTGGTTGGTGGCATTGGTGGCGGCGAGAATGGTAGCGGTGGCATGATAGTGGTGGTTGTGAAGGCATCATGGAGATGATGGTGGTGGTGGCAGTGACAGTGGCTGCGGCGGTGGAGGTAGTGGTAGGTGATAGTAGTGGTGGTGGTGGCGGGGTGGTGTAATGGTGACGATGGTGGTGGTGGTGGTGACAATAGTGACTGTGACGATGGTGGTGGTGGTTGGTGGCGGCGAGGGCGATATCGGTGGTGGCTGCAACAATGATAGTGGTGGTTGGTGATAGTGGTGGTGATAGTAGTGGTGGTGGAGGTGACAGCAGTGGCTGCAACAATGGTGGTTGGTGACATTGGTGGCGACAACAATGGTAGCAGTGGCATGGTGATGGTGGTTGTGATGGCATCATGGAGATGGTGGTGGTGGTGACAGTGGCTGCGGCGGTGGTGGTAGGTGCAGTGGTGGTGGTGATGGTGGCAGTGGTGGCGGCGGTGGTGTAATGGTGGCGATGGTTGGTGGCGGCGGTGTTGATGGTGGCTGCAATAATGGTAGTGGTGGTTGGTGACAATGGTTGTGATGGTAGCGGTGGTGGTAGTGGCAGGAGTGGTTGCGATGGTGGTGGTTGATGGCGGTAGTGGTGATGGTAGTGGTGGTGGTTGCAGCGGTGATATTTGTGGTGGTGGTGATGGTGGCATGGTGGAGGTGGTGGTGATGGTGGCGGTGACATCGTGGTGGTGGGGGTGGTCACGACAGCACTAGTGGTACGACGACAACGACGATGGTGGCAGTGGTCGTGTTGGGATGATAGTGGTGATGATGGTAGAGATGAAAAAGTGATTAAGAGATATAAGTGTTTCTCATTTTGTTCTCGGGAACAAAAAAACAGAAATTTTTTGATTCTTTTTTCTGTTCCTCAGCACAAAAATTAATCTGGTTCATCCCGGGAACAAAAAAATAAACTGGTTTTACCAAACGAGTTTTCTATCCATTTTTGTTCCCGGGAACAGAAATTAAAAAAAAAAAAATTGATTCTGGGAAGGTTGTCATGCGCACCCTTAGACACACCGAACCCTGGACACGAATTAAGAATCTCATTCTCAATTCCATCAAAGTTGGTTATCGCCATTTTTTTACGATTTTTTTCTACACTCAATCCCTTTCATCTTTTTAAATAGTTACACTAACCCCACAAAACATGTTGATTTTATTAATATTTAAAACTTAATTTTAATCCATGTGTTTACTTTTTTTACTATTTAGGGATGTGTTGATAAAGCATATGGTGGTTTATGAGATTTAAATGCGTTGCAACAAGCTTAAGGATCAAAACAAAAATTATATTAATTTTATCATTAATTTGTTTTATGATTTTATTATTTAAGCAAGTTAACCTATCAATCCATTATAAAAAAAAAGAAGGTATTGATATTCTAAACTGAACTTTAAAAAGTGAATCTACCTGTCTCATCCCATTTTTGACGGGATGGAGATGGATAGATAGAGTGACTTTGCCATTTCTATTAGGGTATTCTCTTGGACATCCAACAAACAAGCAATAGTTATACAATCAATACCAAAAAGTAGTTGTTGTAGAATCAACAAGGCAAACATAGCTTAGAAGAATAATTAAAGATATAAGAGATCATCAGATATGGAGTGGTATTAGTGCAATAACAAATCGACAATTGCAATGGCGAATTGTTAGGTATCAACCTAACAGAGAGAGGAAATAATAGAGAACAAAGAATAATCAACAAGTTTATTATTTAGATATCTTTTTTCGGTATACATCAGTCTCCTTTATACCACTGTTTACAATCAAAAACCATGTAACAAACTAGCCAACTAAGTAACTATGACTCCAACTGCAAATGAACCATAGTGACGGGGACTTAGTTTTTCATTGACTTTAGAAGCCAATGATTTCAACCTGTATGGCTGGAGGCATAAATAAACGAAATTTTCTACCTCAAACTGCACGTCCCTCCTCTTTTTATTCGCCTGAGACTTCATACGGTTTTGAGCCTTGTGTAAATGCACTTTTAAATCCTCCAAAATTGTTTCCCAATCAGCCAACAATTGAGAAATAGCGTCTACTGCCGGGAAACTATTACCAACTCTCAAAAGACTAGGAGGACCTACACCATACAACGCCTTAAATGGGGGTCATCTATGTGGAGTCCTTAGTGGTGGTGTTACACCAATATTCCACCCAATACAGCCACTTAGGCCAGGTGCAGGGTTTGGGACTGCAAAAATAACGTAAATAAGTTTCAAGACTCCTATTCACCACTTTCGTTTGCCCGTTTAATTTTGGATGGTATGCAGTTGTAAAATGGAGTTTAGTTCTGACGCATTTAAAAAGCTGAGACCAAAAATGACTTCAAAACAACCTGTCTCTATCCGACACAATGGTAAGTGGGAAACCATGCAGCCTCACCACCTCCCTTACAAACAAATCAACAACTTCTTTGGCAGAATAAGGATGAGCTAAAGGCAAGAAATGAGCATATTTTGTGAGATGGTCGGCCACTGCAAAGATAGTATCAACATCGTGAGCTTTAGGTAATCCACCTATAAAGTCTAAGGATACATTTGTCCATACTTCAGATGGTATCGGCAATGGCTGAAGTAAACCCGCAGGGGATAAATTCTGAATTTTACTCTGATGACAGATTGCACAATCCATCACATATTGCTATACTGTTTTCCTCATTCCCTCCCAAAAGACAACCTCAACCATTCACCTGTACGTCCTAGAAAAACCAGAATGCCTTCCAATACGCGAATCATGAAATTCTGACAGAACAGAAGGGATAAATCTAGAATTTTTGGACAAGACTAACCTATTTTTGTAGAAAAGGCTACCTCCATGCAGATGGAACCCCACATGTGACGCCGGATCTTCCAGCAAGTTCTGGATAATGCCTTTAAGCCTTGGATCCATCTGCACTTCGC